TTTGCAGGTTTTAAGAAATAAATTTGAAAAAAAATCTTTTTATTCGAAAATATACAATTTTTAAATAAAAAGATCTTTTTCCAAATTTATTTCGTATTAAAATGGTAAATAATGAATAGAACATTGTTTTTTTTTTTTTTTTTTTTTTTGGACGGGGTGTTTAAGTAAAAGATAAATTTTCAGTAACTAAAGTTTATTTGCTTTTATTTTTCAGTCTTTCTTCAGGCTCTTTTTACTACCAAATGTTCAAATTTGGGTTTGTCTGTTCACAATACATTTTGGTAAATTATAAATATTTTGTATGAGAAACATATTTTATTCTCACCATTACCTCCTCAGTAGACTTTTGAGATTACCAAAAGTGCTGGTGATTTGATTTAAGATCAAGGGAATCATGAAAAAAGAACAATCTCATTCAATTTTGCAAAGACATGCTATACCATCTGGTTTATACATAATTGGAAAAAAAATCACCTTTCAACAAGATGGTGATCTAAAATGTTTTTTTTAAAGTACGTCAAAATTAACTCTAGTCAAAAAAAAAAAAAAAAAAAATATTGGAAATTAAGAGTTGGCTGCCTCAATCTCCTGACCTATTGAATTAGTATAGAATGAATTGGATAAGAGAGTTTGAAGAGAATACCCAAAGAGTGTGAGTGAGCTATTTCACTGCTTGAAGAATGCTTAGGAGTTCTACCATATACTTTTTTCAAAAACTGTTGGAAAGAATGCAAAGAATTTGTAAAGAAGTAATTAAAGTAGATGGTGTTTTTATTAACAAAAACAAAATATGCTGTTGTATGATAATTTTTATAGTTAAGTGTTTATTTTTTTTTTATTATCAAAATAAAACCAAACACATTGTAGTTACTAGAATTTTTTTTTTCCTTTAAAAAAATATAAAAATATCTCATCTTAAGATGTTTTTTTTAAAGAAATGCAGGGTGGCCCAAAATGATTTTTTGGTTCACATATTTTTATTATCTTTTAAATAAACATTGTCAAGGGAGTTTTGCTCATATACAGTAATAGCAGTGTCAACAGAAAAACTATCCTTTTGAAACAGTTTTTTTTTTTTTTTTTTTTTTTTTTTTTTGTGTGTGGTGGTTGGACTTCAAGTAAGGTGGGTAGTGAGTAAAAGTGTTTTACATGAATTCCAACACTCAGTTTGGGAGAGCAGTGACTGGTTCACAGTTTAGTAAAAGTTATAAATTAAAAAAAAAAAGGGAATAATTTCTTTTTGTTCATAATTTATAATAGATTTTTTTTCTTGCCCAATATCTATGATCAATGGTATCAAGTATTGAAAATGTATTCTTAGGTCCTAACAGCCATTGGAGGAATGTGCATTTTTATTTATTTTTCTCTTTAGAGAATTTTCTACTCCATTTATTAATTTGCACATTTTGACTCTTTAAATGATTTTCCAATCTCACTTTTAAGACCTTTCCTCTCTGTATTGCATACTGAGAAAAATTCCACCACCACCCTTAGCTAAAGTACTTAATGAATGGTTTATTTTAGCACATTTATGGCCGCATCATATTGAAACATTGGTTCCCATAAGATCACCAAAGTTAACCAATGTTAAGCTCGGTCAGCACCAAAATAGATGACCACTTCAGAATGCCTGGTGGTGTAATGGATAATTTGTTAATTGGAGAGACAAGTTTCAATTCAAGTTGGGTTCATTATATTCACTTATGCACAGATTCCCTTGTAAAAGCTATGAATCTACCTCTTCTTCCCCCAGCTATGGATTAATTAGTAAGACTTGTATCCCTAAAACCTTTATTATCTCAAAAAAAAGAAAAAAAAAATGGAAATTGCATATAAAATATTCAGATTTTGGCATTGGATAGTCCATAAATGCTAATATACTTCTAAACAGAAGCAACTAACCAGCACTAAAATTAGTTTATGTGACTTTCTAGGGTGTCAATCTCTCTTCCCTTCTTTCTTTGGTGACTTGGCAAATTTTCAACTTCAGTAATTGGAGACTTCTAATGTCTCCAACTTGCCTCACTGACATTTTATGGATGACTCATAAGCTACCAGATAGCCAATAGTTACAGTTCTTTCTCACTCGTTTATTCATTCAGTAAATAGATTCAAATCGATTGAGGACTACTTTGATACAAGAGACATGTTCACTAATGCTGATGAGAAATAATTTTTTAGGATTGTGAAAGCTGAGGCTGACTTTACATATCCAGAATTGTAAAAGTTTGTAAACATTTTGCACCAAATTTGCAGATTTAAATTGTTTTAAGATTTGAGGAAAAAAAATGTCTTGGACATATTTTTTTTTTTTTTTTTTTTTTTTTTTTAGTGTTATTCAATATTGAGAGGTCAAAGACAAACAAGTAGGCAAAATGTTACAAAAAATTATGTTAATTTGACTGAATTCTGTGTTTTAGTATCCTAAAACCCAGTTGGTCATTTTATAAAAAGTGTCAAGTTAAACATTAATTTTAACAAGATTCCAATGACTTTCCTAGAGTCAGAAAATGTAACAATTCAGAACTGATTATCTAGAAATGTGCAAGTTTTGATTAACTTCAAATGATCATGACTTGAAAAAAAATTGCTAATTAGGACAAAGTTTGACAAGTTATAAGATTAAGAATGTCTATTATCAGACTCCATATTAGCATATATCACTGGGGGGGAAATGTTCCAAAATTGCCAAATTCAAACCCACTTTATTGTAGGGGAAAAAAAAGCTGCAAAGAAGTTCTAAGCTACAATGTGTTAGGGTTGAAAAACTCATAATTAAAATATTTTTTAATCATCTGACCCATGATCTGGTGTGGTTGAACACTTGCTTGGTCCCCTCTACATGTTTCAGTTGTGTGCTTGAGTCTCTGTAAAGGATCTTCCAGTCCACTCTGACATTGTCTGCCCCCTTCTTCTTTCCTGTCCACCTCTCTTTCTTCTTTCATGTCTGCCTTTAAAACTGGACACATCAGATCATTTCCTAATCAGTCCAAATTGATGCCAAATGAAATGAATCTCCTGATTTGTCATTCCATAGAACAATTTCTTGCTGCACAAAGGCAAACTGGGACAGCTTTAGATTTTATATAGTGGAAGCTTCTCTCTTGACCTTCTTCTGCTGCCCACGTCTCAGAATGAATCCTTTCTGGAATAGAGAGTTTTATACCCCCCACCAAAAAAAATTCCAGCCAAAAACAATGGTCAGTCTTGGTTCATCTCTGAATGCACAGCAGCCATCAATATCTATCACAAGGACCAGTGTAGTTTGACTCTTACTGCATTCAGAATCACTTGCAATCACTGCAAGAAAATGCAAAAAGAATACAAAGTACTAAAGGCTAAGATTGAAAACAAATTGCATTCCAAGAGTTCTGGAAGATCACCAACCAGATTACAAATAGAGGCAAAGTATTTGTGTATCTATTTTAAATGGCCTAGAGGTCATTCCTTGTCAGATAAGTCGAAGCTCTTCACCTCTAACTGAACATGAGAAGACACTGGCCATCCCCTTCCTCATTGAGCACAATCTCAGTAGTATTTTTATTACAGCCACAGAAGTCTCAAGACTTATCAAAAGTCTTGATCGTAAGAAAGCTACTGGCTCAGACAAAATCCCAGGGTTGTTTTTAAGGATATCAACCCAAAACTATCCCCCAATCTTAGCAAAATTAGTTAACCACTACCTGAAAGAGAAATCCTAAGTCTGTGGAAGTTGTCAAGTGTATGCACAGTTTTCAAGAACACAGGCAAGTGCTCATCCTTCTCTCAGTATATACCCATCAGTCTCCTCAGCATCATTAGCAAGACTTTTGAGGCTATAATCTATATGAAGTTTGTTGATTACCTGAATAAGAACAAACTCTTGAGTGATAAAGTATGAACTTTGATTGGCCCAATCCACTGCTGATGTCATAGCTACCATTACTCACAGAATCGGTGAGGCACTGGACAACAAACACATCTCGGGGACTATTGCATTAGATATTTCAGAGGCCTTTGACAAAGTGTGACCTAAAAGATTGCTGTACAAGCTCTGCAACTATGGAATCACTGGAAGCATCTTCTCAACATTATAGTGATTTTCTAAGCCCGGCTTAGATGTGGCACAAGGCCGAAAGTATGAGGCACCCAGTGAGGATCGAACTCACTACTCAGTTGTAATTGATCTAGAAAGTCAAGCTTTCTAACCATTACACCACATCAAGGTGCCCAATCTTCTCAACATTATAGTCCTTTTTAACAGGTCCCTGAAGATAGTTGTTAACAGCCAGTGCTCCAGGGCCCTAGCAATCAATGCAGGCGTTCCCCAAAGGAATTAATATTTATTCTATATCTTTATAACTCTTAGTTCATGTCAGAACTTGCTAATATATTTTCAGTTATTTTTTGTATCAAATTAAAAGTAAATCATATTATTTTCAAAATGGCTTGAAAGCAAGAAATTCATATAGCTTCTGAAATGAATCCACACACACACACACACACACACATATATATATATATATATATATATATATATATATATATATACATACATACATAGTGTGTTTCATTTAAAGATGACTGATAAGGTACTGCAATTAAGAAAATCATCCTTGATAATGGCTAAAATTATAGCCGAAAGTGTTCTGAAATGCAGAACAATTGGACAGTTTTTACAGACTTTGTGTCCAGAAAAGAAAAACACTTGTAGGGAGACGAAAAAAATTAAATAAAATGCTTAATCGCAATACCTTGTCAGTAGTCTTTTAATGAAACAGGTATAAAAGATAGATTGCTGCCTAAATGCACATATATAATCCTGTTGTGGGTTGATGATGCCCTTTTAATGTCCTTCCCCACTAAAAAAAAAAAAAATTATATAATTACATTCAGACAAGGTCAACACATCATCAGAACCCACAACAAATTTAATTACCTCATATTCTTAAGGTGTTATAAGGATACAGTAAAATATCCTAAACTAATTTTTAATTTATTTTACTGGATTTGGCCTTTGTATGGCTCTCTCTTTTTACTCTGCTTACCACCTCACTTTCTATTTCTTCTTTCTTTCTATTTCTTCTTTCTTTCTCTCTCTCTATTTCTTTCTTTCTCTCTTTCTATTTCTTTCTTTCTCTCTTTCTATTTCTTTCTTTCTCTCTTTCTATTTCTTTCTTTCTCTCTTTCTATTTCTTTCTTTCTCTCTTTCTATTTCTTTCTTTCTCTCTTTCTATTTCTTCTTAAACTGCTACAATATTATCTGCCTACTGCAACTGAATTCAAGTCTCAGGTGGAGAAAAAAGAGTGTATGATGTGTGTGTGTATATATATATATATATATATATATATATATATATATATTTGTAAGATGTTGCATGAAATGTGCAAACATAGAATATATTAAGTTTAACAAGTGCTCAATGTATAACCCAGAAATTTATAAATGTTTTGTTAAATTCTGGTTTCTTTTTTTCCCTAAGTTTCCTGCATTAACAACCATCATGATATTTTACTACCCTTCCTGATGTCTGTAAATGCATTAAACTTAGTTGTGGGTAAGTGACAAATGAGAATTTAAAATATATGTTTTAATATCAAAGTACTAAATAAGAGGGATAGAGCATATGGAAATATAAAAGTGGATACTGAGGTCAACACTGAACAGCCACAGTCTGTTTCACACTTGAATTCAATCTTCAGACCTGAAGGTTTAAAAAGCATTTTTAAAAAAAGAAAAAAATCTTGAAGCTTTCATTTTAGTTTTAATTTTAAGCTAATAGATTAAATTTAATATTTCCAATAAGCAAAATACTTTGCTGTATTTCAGTTCAAATTTAAATTCTTTGGAATTATTTTTTTTTTCTGATTATCAGTAACATGGATAAAATAGTCCCTATTGATAAATTTGTCAACACAACATAATTCTCTTTATTAAAACATTTTTCAAAGCTGAATTAGCTAATTTAAAGTTTAATTAATCATAATGGAAATAAATATTACTTTTTAGTTTAAAATATTGCAGAAAAGAATTTTTTAACATGTGGGTATTTTTATGTGGTGTTGACAGATCTATTGACAACTTATGTTTGGGAAATTTATTTAAGGACCAGATAATTGAAAGAAAATTACATAACAAATACGATGTAATTGCCTTCTTTTACATAATTTTTTAATTACAGAGTAATCTTTAAAAATTTTAAATATTTTAAGCATTCCAATATTTTATTGAATTTTAGGTATGTTGGCTTTATAGTCAGGTAAATGCTTGGGGAAAAGTTAGCAAATTACCAATAAATTTTAAATTTACTATAGTTATGATTCTCATTTTCTGATAATGTCATGTATAGACATCTGTTTACAAAAATCAACATGTTATACAGACATAATTCAAAATTCTTTTTGAAATACTGGAGGCAGATCATTAAATTGTATTAAGCTTTTCTATTTATGATTATTAAATATAGTTTTAATTTAATAACAATATCACTTGATAGATACAAATTAATAGAACATTTTAAAAGATTTAAGTTAATAAATTATTCTAATTAAAATTTTTAAAGAATGGAAACAATTCTTATATAAATTCATTATTCATCAAAACTTTTTTCTTAAGACTATACTTTTCATAATATATTTTATTCATAAAAGCAATTAAAATCTTTTCTGATTAAATAAATCTTATTTTTATTCCAATTTTTATTTTAAGTTTCAGAGCAGATTTTGTTTGTTTTTGAAAAAAAAAAAAAAAAAAATTCATGATTTAAATTCTCCTGATAACTAATATAAACATTAAGCAATGCAAAAAATATCTTGAAATTTTATAAAATTAAATGTGTAGGTGGCAACAGATTAAAATATATATTGTATGGGTACATGATAAATATACCATGTGAATTTTGGCTTATAAAAAATGAGAAGTGAAGCAAAAAGTGCAGTTTGAGATTATGAAGGAAAGATATTGGTTAACCCTAAATTTGAAGAATTTAAGATTGTAGTGATCAGAGAAAACATCCTGTCTGCCACAAATCAGTAGTTCTTAGGAAGAAGCTGTCTGAGGAAAGTCTCCTTTTTATTAATGGAATAGAAATAGAATGACTTCCCCCCCTCACCCCTGTGTATTTGCAAAGAAGAGTCTTTCAACATTTCATTTGTGGGGAAAGGGGTTGTAGGATAGAAAATAATTCATCACCCACAGGGCCACATAGACAGCAACACTTCAGTTTTGGTCTGATCTGGTTCTTGTAAAGATAAAGCATAATAGGAGAAATCAGATGCAGGAATCCCTCAATTAGTGCAGCTAATTTGTACATTGGTAACTATAAAGAAATCAATTTTCAATTACTATAGTTAAACTGAAGAATGTTTTACCACACTAATTGAGTATTATGTATGCACTAATCAAATTTTGGTATATAAAAATTTTAACATACTAATCAAAAATGCATTAATTGAGAGATGCCTCTACTTACTGAAGTGGTACAAGGAACTGACCATTTTTCCAGCATTGTTTTCATATCTTTAACTAAACTACATCTTTTAAAATAAACATTATAATTACTGAAGAAGTACATGAGAAATGACATCGCAGCAGTAATTTTTAATGATAAATGTAGAGCTAAGTTGGATTGACCAAATAACTAGGCTAAATATTGTTTCTTTTATGGAAATTGTCAACCAATATGACTTAAGATAGCAAGTATAGTAGGGCAGAGTAATGTTTTTGGCTAATATTGTAAGCAGTAAAATTACATGTTTTCAAGTTAACTACAGAGAATTAAGTTCTTCAATAAAACATCCTTTGAGTGGTACAGGTTATAGTCAAGAAGCTTTAAGCTAAACACTCTATATTCATGCAAGACAATGCTACTTCATATTTTGCAAAACTGACTATTGCCCACCTTGCCCAAAAAAGTTTCACAGGCACCAATTAGAAGAAAATTATATATGAATAGAAAACCCTGTTCAAGCAAAGATCTCCAGGAAGCAATAAAAACTGCTACAAATAAAACTAAGGTTAAAATAGAAAGGTTAAAGTTAACCAAATCAATAAATGAAAGACTGATATATATAATCTAAAGAAACCCATATTAACATATCTACCTCATCAACCACAGCCAAGATTATAGTCCACAAACCTCACATCTTTTTACTGTATGTTTATGTACTTAAGCAGAACTACACATGGTTTTGAATTCAGTTATCTTTCTCTTAGACTGGTTACCAACCAAGGCTAGAGAGCAGTTTACCCTTCCATTTAACACCTATTTGGTTGGAAAGAAGATGAATTCATATTTTTCCTGATGGTATTTGCATGAAAGTGAATGCAACAAACTTGAATGAAATTGATTTCTTGTTCACTACCAGCATGTCCACCATATTAACATTTACATACTAGTTATTAATTAATATTATGCCAAATATGTAGACACGGTAGAATAATGGATAGCAGGTTGTATTGAGAAATTGGAAAGCAGAGTTTGAATTCCAGTTGAGTGTGTTACATTCATTTATGTGCAAAATACCCTTGGGGGAAAGGTAGGAATACATTTCCTCTCCAGCTATGGGTAAATAATAGGAGACTATACCTATAGCCTTGGGTGGCAACCTGTCTCAGAGAAGGACAACTCTGAATTCAAAACCCCAAATATGGGTTAAATAGCCTCACCAACCCACAATTTGCCAAGCATAGTAAGTATGGCTACACCTCTGATGACATGGTCAATCAATGAGGGCTTCCTCCAACAGGGGTGAGAAGTCCCTGGATTTGGATTTGGAGTTGAATATTTCTATGTCCTATATATTGTTTTTATTATATGAATGAACTGAACCCTGTAGCCCTTTTGGAATTTATTATGTAAACCAATTTTTTCACAGTATAATTGATATTAACCAAGCAATGCAGGTAAAATTTTCCAGTGATGCTTCTATGGGCAATATATCAGGTGTGTTTCAGCTTATACCTATCCCTATTAAAAATATTAATATTGGAAAGTGTCAGCTTTTATTATGCAAACAAATTAAGCACATCATAAATTTTTATTTCAAATTCCATAAATTGCAGCATACAAGTTGAGTTTTCAAACCTAAAAAAGATTTTTGTGGGCAGGTCAACCTATACAGTAAGTATAGGCCAAGCTAAAAAATTTGAGGTTGACTTGTACACTGCAATATACAGTAAGTTTTAAAAAATAATGATGGATATTATAAGCTTAAACTCAAATTATATATTTCTCATAAGCATCTCCTGAAAATTTTACCAGCATCAGCTTGTTAATGCCAATTGTGAAAATATTGAGTACATTCCAACATATGAATTCTTTTACTTATAGCAAGAATGTGCTGAAGATATTCTATTACATTGCAAAATGCTAGGAAGAGGGATTTAGTTGCTAGACTGTAAACAAGGCTGATCTTTTCAGCAAAAAAACCAAAAAAAACCTTGGCATCAACTAGTCACTTTGGCATTCTCTGGCATTCACTGATAATCTGACTGCAAGCACACTGGACATAGTGTTCTTGATAATTTATCATTTACCCACATTTTAGTGCATCAGTCTTGAATGGGTTCTTTTCACTTTTTAAAAGTTTTACTTTCCAGAAATGACATTTAGCCCCTTTCTCAATGTCACTGTACTACAGAGAGAAATATTAAGATATCATTCTTTCATGACTCAATCTGGGAAATATTTTAATACAGCATGAGTCCACTAACCCATTAGAATCATAAGGGCATCACATATACTTCAACCATAGCAACAGTGGATGTGTCTAGGGCAAGATAACCACTTCCTCTTCAAGATGGTTTTGAATTCAGTTTTTTTCTTTCTCCTAGACTGGTTGCCATCCAAGGCAAAAGAGCTCAGTCTGCTCTGCTGTTTAACCCATAGCTGGAGGAAGATAGATGAATACCTTTTTCAAGGTGAACTGACCAGAATTTGAACTTGCTGATTACATTTTCCCTCCCAATATCTATTACACCATCAATACATCAAATGTCTTGGCTAGCAACTAACCAAGAACTGAACACCCATCACATCTCAATAAGTGTTTTCTTTTGAATTGACTATTAGCATATTAACAAATAGAGACTGCCTTCATTTTGGTTCAGTTATCAATCAACTTTGCAGGATCACAGAAGAGGCTCTCGTGGCTTTTAATACAGATTGATCATCAGCAATCTGGTCCAATCAGTAATCCAGAACTAATTTCCATGAGAGCAATTCCGGATTTCTCGGGTTGCAATATGGACTTACCACTATTGTTTGGTGGTGCTAGCCGCTTCATCAGCTGTTTTTGAGCTCTTTCAAACATCAGCTAGGCATTTCTATTTATCTTTTGTGCATTTTTATTATAACTGGTTGACATTTAGTATTTCTTGTGGTTTGAAGCACAAACACCATGCATTGTTCATAACAAGGTATAACCTGATGAAAAGTAAAAATTTCACTTGATTTTCATTTAATTTTTCTTTTCCTTAAACCAATAAATACTGATTTACAGGGAAATTTAATGATAGGATGAAGAGGTTAATTGTTAGGTTAATTACATATTAATGTAGCCATCATATTGTAACTCTCATATAGATGTCATGCATGATATTCAAGATATTCAGAAATGTCTAAGCTATCATTTATGTTTCTCAGATCAGTGATTAAAAACAGGTTTAAATGAATGAATCTTTTTTGGTTTTGAAGACAATCTTTTATCAGACTAGTTCTACAAAAATAGGTAGTATATGAAACTATAAGTGGAAAATAAAGATATAATCTAGGTGTTAATTTTCCAGTATGCTTTAAACAATAGGTTTGGAAGGAAACTGCCATCAGTACTAGAGAAAGTGATAATAGTTGACTTAAGAAGTTTAATTTCTGGAAAAACTGTTTTAAGATTTTATAAATTTCAATGGAGAATGGAATGTCACTCCACAGGATGAAAAACAAAGGGCAGATGAGATGCTTATAAAAGAAAATAGTCAACATATATTTCTTGGTTGATTCATTTTCTATGGCTTTGCAGGTTATTTATAGCCAGAAAATATTTTTTCAGTCGTAAGAATTTTTTTCAGAGGAGATAATTTTTTAGGGATACAAATCTTACTAATTAACCCATAGCTGGGGAGAAAAGGTGAATTCATATCTTTCCCAAGGGTATTTAAGTGTAAGGGAATATAATAAACCCAACTGGAATTGGAACTTGGCTCTCTGATTAAGAAATCCAAGTCATTATCCATTATACTACCCATACATTCAAGCTTAGAGCATCTGATATCCTCCAGCACTCTCCCATCTAGGTACTGACCATGCTCAACATTGCACCTGGTAACCTCAAGTGGTTGCACATCTAGATACTGACCAGGTGATCATCTGGCAACTGGTGTTTCAATATGATACAGCCATAAGCCCTGAACAATTCACACACACACACACACACACACACACATGCAGATATGTATGTAATGTATATGCTAGGATGTGGTCTCAAGTCTTGAATGGCAACTTTCCTAGAGATGGTGTCTCAATAAAAAGTATTTGGTGTACTTGGACTGCTGTGAGTGTCTGAGTTCAGTGTCAGGAAGAGCATCTGCCCTTGTAAAACATTCCCTAATCTTGGCTCAAATCATTATGACAAATCCTTTCTCAGGCAGGACCCACCTTGCTTTATGCAAATAGTACAGAGTGCCTTTAGCACTCTGCAGTATTCAAAGTATTTCATCCACATCCATTGGGTATAAGTTACATGAGATCACACCAGAGAGGTCAGGTGCAAACTCCTGTAAATGCAACCCTACCAGAAAGATCTGCAGGTTACTTGCGCAAGTTTTGTGATAAGGTTTGTAAGTCTGTTGCAGGACTTAAACGTCACATGATTGTACACAGGGACTGGCAAGTTTTTAACATAGGTAACACAGAGATAAACTTTGTTTGCCATGTGTGTAAGAGAGGTTGTAAAAGGGAAGCTGACCTTAAAGATCATTTATGGGTCCATAAGAGAGCATTTAGCTCAGGTATAAATGATGGAAATAATAGAATTCTTAATGAAAAACACAAGAAAAGCTACTAAGTGAAGAGATGGTCTTCTGCAAAGAAGTGACACTCATCATGTATGTATATATGTATATAGTAATGCTAACTGTTTGATCAACAAATGCCAAGTGTTTCCTTTCTATCTCTCTCTCTCTCTCTATATATATATATATATATATATATATATATATATATATAGGTATTTACTAACTTTGAGTTTAGTCTTGTCCAAGATAAATGTGTGGTACTCAGTAAGGAATGAATTGACTACCATAATAGTCTATGAAATGATATTTCTAGGAAATACAATAGGTTACACTTGGGATATCTTTATCCAATGCAATAAGATGCTACAAAACCAAAATATTGACCTGAACAAAAGTTATGTTTTTAAATAGCTTCATCAGATCTCATATGGACCTCATACATAATGTCCAACATGTTCATAATTGTTTTAACTATCATTTGTATATAACTGTTTCTTTGGATTAATGTTTAAAAAGTGTTTCAAGCAAATGAATCATTTTACATCTTAAGACAATCTTTATCAGACCCAATAGACTGGTGCTGTGTAATCACAAAGAGCTTTTTTTTTTAAAACCCCCACATCACTTAAACACATATAACAGCCACAAAAAAAAGAGGAGAGCACATGTAACTAGAATAGATATTGACTTTACATACAACCTTAAACAAAAGATTTTTTGATTTGTTTTCTACAGTTTATCAACCCTTTCCAGGTTATTTAAAGCCAGAAAATATTTTTCTTTTTTTTTTTTTTTTTTTTTTTTTTTTGAGATAAGATTTACTGATACAAATCTTACTAATTAACCCATAGTTGGAGAAGAGGTGGATTCATACCATTCCCTAGGGTATTTGCATGTAAGTTAATATAACAAACACAACTAGAATTGAAACTCAGCTTTCTGTTTGACAATTCCAAGCCATTATTCATTACAGACACACATATTCAAGCTTACAGCACATGGTATTTGTAATCACTCACCAATCTAGGTACTGACCAGACTTAACATTGCTTAACTTTGGTGATCTTATGGAACCAGTGTTTTTCAACATGATATAGCCATAAGCCTTAAACAAATGGTTTGAAAGGGATTTCCAATTAGTACTAAAAAGAGCAATGAGAGTGGACATAAGATGTCTAATTTCCTTAAAAGAAAACAAAGTAAAAACTGTTTTAAAAGATTTAATGACATTAACTCTTCAGTCAATAAATACCAAATGTTTCCTTTTAAGGGAACAGTTAATTCCCCCATTATTAATGATAGAGTATCTGTTTACGTGTGTAAATTATATCGATATAGGGTACAATGGGTAAATTTGTCGCCATTTTATATTTTCAATTTCATGCATTCATGTTGTCTGTTTTTGATTTTGTCAACTGCGTATTATAGTAGGGTCAGTTGGGCACTGTCTGTGAGGAAAAAGAGCAACATGACTCAATTCACTCCACCAGAAATTTGGAAAGAGCATGCAGTACTTCTTGACATTCACACCAGAAACTCCAATACAAATATTTCAGTGTGTTTGGGTGTTGATGCAGAGGATTCGGAAAGTGTTGGATACGTCAAATGATGATTTCAAAGGTACGGCATTCTTGGAAGAAAAGAACACCTGAATTTGATGGTGAAGGCCTCAGAATCAACAGAGGCCTGCATCGAGTGCTTTGAGGAGGTAGTGCTGCTCTGGGTCAAGAAGGTAGCTACTATGTCTGGTAATAGGACTCTGCACCATGCCACACAAGCATGAGAACAGTCATGGTTGTCAAACAATTTCTACAACCACATCACCCCTTACATCTGGCCACCTAACTCCCCAGACTTTAACACCCTTGATTTATTATGTGGGGTGCAGTTGAGCAAGAGACCGACAAAACTCCTTGTAACACCAAAGCTGAACTGAAGGCAAGGTTTATGGCAGCATTCACCAACTTAAGCAAGGAGACTGTCCAGAAGAGTTGCAGGAGATTCCAAAGTCATCTGTAGGCCATGGTTGAAGCCAATGATGATTTTATTGAATAAATTTACTCTTTAGTATTTCAAGATATTTTTGTGTAATTTTGGTAAATATATTTGTTAAAATGAGAAGTCAGTATTATCTTCATTTTTGCATAATTTAGATGACAATTTATCCATTGCACTGTGTGTGTGTAATATATAATCTTTTCTTTTTTTTCTTTATACAGTGGGAGTGGTGAGGAGATTGGAGTGGTAGTGAGATCTTGTCATGATGACCTTACCACTGGCCAGCCGTTATCTCCCAGCAAGCTGCCCAAAAGTCCACTGAAGACCCGTACTAAACGAGTCCGTACCACAAGCTCATCATCAACTAGTGACCGTGTGGTGCAGACAGCTACACGTACTTTATACACAGCTGGACGTCCACCTTGGTATGACTCTCAGGGACAACTTAAAGAAGCTTTTGTCATTGGTAAGTTTTTATTTTAAATATAAATTGTTTAAATAACTTATGGGAAGTACAGAATTTTATTATAGCTTTTAAAATAGAAACAGATTTTATCTTGTTATATATTCCATACTAATATATTAAAATAACAGGAGGAAGAGCAAGGAAAAAAAATATATATAGGGTGTCTCAAAAGACTCATTCTTTAAATGACAATAAATACAGTATTTATTGACTTGCAAACATGATTAATGGTTAAAATTAAGAAATATTAATGTTTATTGATTTAGAAAGAAGGTTAGTGGTTTATATTAAATGGAATTAAATGCATGAATCGGAAAAAGGAAAAAACTTCATGAAGTTACAGGGAGTCAAAAAAGTGAATACATTTGTTTTTTTTGTGGGGGGGCATTCTGCCTACTTATTGTAAATTGAAAAATTAAAAAATCAACAAAAAAGAAGGTAGAGATCAATGAAAAAATATTTTTTTTAAATTTATAATTTTTCGTTCAATGATTGAGCTTTGAAGAGTAAAGAATGATAACATGATAGCTTCTTTCTTTTTTTATTTACATATTATATATATATTTTTCAAATTATGAATAATCCTTCTCAGACAAGGAGGAAAATTTATGAGGGAATTTTCTCCTCATCTGAGAAGGGTTGTTCATAATTTTGAAAAGTTGATCAGTAAAATTAATTGACAAAAAATGTTTTTTGTCTTTGAAGAACATTTGCTGCCTAAATACACAGAATATATATATTGTCATCAGTGGCTTTATCTCCTCCCCCCAAATTTTATTTCATCTTTGTTGATCACTTCCTTTATTTGCTGCCACCTTCTAAGTTCAGGACTAGAAGTTTCCAAGAAAGGTGAAAGAAAAATCAAAGTTAGAAAGTGCCAGTGGTGTGAATTTGTTTAAAGTGGACCTCAGCTTTCCAGGAAGTGACCCACACACTTGATTTCATGACCTTCTTCTGTGGCACATGTGGAATGAGACATGCAGAATCCAGTTATGAAACTGACACTTTGTTATAATTTTGAGTGGCACCTTCTGTAGTGTCCATCCTGCATAGATCTCTTCATGTGCTGCTTCAATATAGAAACACTGATGTCTGAGTGAATGGACATGTTTTTACATTGCTCGAAAAAAGCAATGTCTTATTTTAAAAAGAAGTCTTGATTATTTTAATTCTCTATTTATTCTTATATTTCTCTTTCTGTATTATAGTTTTTGTTATATTATTATGCATTTATTATCTTTATTTATTAAAATACATATAAGTCAAGGTATGCATCAATATTTTAAGTATTTTATTAAGAATGTCTATTATTGTTAAGAATTGAGAACATTTAATACATATTTGTTAAATTACTTATACACTGGCATGAATAACTGTACTTTATTTATAATATTGAGATATGACATTTCTCATTTTTATGAAAGAAGACATTAGAAATTGTAATAAAATCATGTTTTTGTTTATCTTTTATTATTGGTTCAATATCATTGATTTCTTTCCTTATTATTTATCATTCAAACATTTTTAACAACATTTGCAGATAATTTTATTATTTTATCCTTTTCTTATTTATTGATAGTAGTAATGTAACACCTTTTTCGACCAAGGAGATATTTTTAAATTTGTAAGAAAAGTCATAATGTTGTTTTATTTTGTTTACTTTCTTTATTATTGATTCAGATCAGAATAGTCAGTTTCTTCCTCCATTATTTATCTTTCAAATTTTTTTTAGCAACAACAATAATAAAAATGTTCCCATACGTGTATCCTATGTGCATACCTCTGATGGCCCCTCCTTGTCATGGTGGAGGGGCTTGTGTGGTCCAGTGACTCTGAGAATGTAGTCAGGAGTTTTAAATTCCTGGTAGGGCCACCCTTGGTGTCAAAGACGAGGACCCGGACTAAGCAGGATCAATCCCAGACCCCAATGATGGAACAAGTGGATGACAATTACAACAGAGAATAAATATATACTCAAACACACACTTGCATTATAGAATACATTTTTCAGTTTTTCCTTTTATAAGTTACCTGTTGTAAGATATGTTTTCTATAACAGTGTGACAACAAATTACAAAACCACTTTAACTACAGGGGAAAGCTTTCTTAGTTTCCAGCTGGTTAACAATAGGAGAGTGTTGATACATATTTTGGTAATGAAGAGATTAATCATACCCTTATAAGTAAATATTTGGCCATTATTGATCAAACATTACTGTCAGTTGAAATTTATAAAATATTTCTCTTAAAACAGTTTTTCAGGAAAATAAGTTTCTCAAGACTACTCTTTCTAGTATTGATGGAGGTTTCTTTTCTAACCTTTTCTTTACAGTTGAATGGAAAATAAACATCTTGATTATCTCATTATTTTAGCTTCAAGTTACATTTGCTACCCATTTAGTCATTGCTGCTGTTGAATTTTCAAGTGATGTGGTTCCTGTCATTTGCTAAAATTCTTTGTGATTCTCTAGTGCCATTCCACTAAAGGCTTATGGCCTCATCACTTTGAAAAACTGGTTCCATACAATCAACAAAGTTAAGCAACATCGAGCCTGGTCAGTACCTCAATGGATGAACGCTTAGGAATACCAAGTGCTTTAAGAATGGATGTGTGGATTGTTTAATGAATAATGGCTCGGAATTGTTAATCAGAGAGCCAAGTTCAAATTCCCATTGGGTTCATTATATTCACTTATATGGAAATGCTCTTGGGAAAGGTATGAATCCACCTCTTCTCTCTCAAGTTATGGGTTAATTAGTAAGACTTGTATCACTAAGCCATTATTATTTCCAAAAGAAAATACAAAATACTTTCTGGCTTAAAATAACCTGTTGATAAGCCATAGAAAACAAATCAATGTGGCAGTCTTCAAGACTTACAGGACTTGCTTGAATCCATTTTCAATCATTGATCTGAGAAAGTGGTTGTATATAACTGATAGTTTAAACATTTCTGAAAAGTTGGATGCCATGCATGACAGCCATACTCTGCATCTGATTAGATTTCTTTGTGATATGATGAATCAGCTATTATCAATGACTGTTACTGGTACTTTAAAATAATCCCTAATTGTGATGGTAATAAGAACATCATTTGATTTTGTCAGGTAAAATAAAGCAAACTGTCACAAAGCTGCATATCCAAATAGCCACAAATGCACTCTCACAGGAGTTGGCTTTCTCCTTGACCTCTTGTTCACTGCTACCAACTTTATATGTATTTGAAGTCAGGTACACTAATCTATAGGCAGCATATCTGTGTTATTTCATCAATCTCATAGATAACACATCCAGACTATTCCGTCAACTGTTTTCTGTTATAAATGATGGAATGAGTCTGCCTTGGTTTTTCTTTGTATCATGGAGTTAATTGCATTGGCAGGAGCTTGCCCTCAGCCTTTTTTAAGGTAAGTGCATTTCTTCTGCACAGATTCATTAATGTTGTGTCTGTGTAGTTGATACTTGCAACAAGCACAGTCAAGTTCTGTTGATCCTTCTCTCTGCTTGTCTATCTGGCTCACCATTTATTCAGATTATTGACCATGCATGCAAATTAGCAATAGTTTTAAAAGCACTAGAACCATGCGTAATGATCAGAATAAGAATCTCCTAGGTAGATTTTTCTCCAAAAAAAGAATAATTGTCCCAGTCTAAAACTTAAAGGTGCATTTCATTTGAATATTGCTGTCAATTCCTGTAACTAAAGTTGCTTATATAAATTGACTTATAACAAAACTGAATTCTTAATTATGGTAAATCTAATAGAAATGCATGTGTTTAAAGTTTAATTATATTCTTTTTCATTCTTCCAGGCTTGTGTGGTGGTAGTGCCTCAGGAAAGACAACTGTTGCGAGAAAAATTATTGAGGCACTTGCGGTTCCCTGGGTCAGTGTCTTGAGCATGGACTCCTTTTATAAGGCAAGTGTTTTGTTTTTTTGTTTTTTGTTGCTGAATGCTCACAAGTAAATATGTGATGTGAATTTAAAATCTCTTTCACCAAGTTAAACCTTCCTTTTTTGTCAACAAAAGTTGACTTGTTGTAAAATCAGCAAACAAGCATTTTACAAGAAATAATTCTTTAAAAATTGACCAATCTACTGGAATTTTTTTTGTTTTGGGGGATTTTTTTTGTCTTCATATCAAGATTATAGACCATTAACATGGATATATCATTAAAATTGAGCTAATTCAATTTTCTCTATTAAAATATATGGTCTTTTTATTTTATTTCTAATATCAACTGCAATTCAATTGCAATATATTCACCGATGGGTTTTGGTGGAGATAATTACGGATAATGTGTTCAAAGGACATGTCTATGACATAATCTAGTCATGTGGCTAAAGTACTTGTCAGGATTATATGACATTTATTATGAAAGCAGACAGTATGTATGTTGAAATATCCACACTTATAGAACATTAAAAAGTTCAGCATATTAGCACTGTGATACTACAAGCATATAGTGGTAAATGGGCATATTTATTAAGCCTGTTTTTATCTTCATCCAATATCTGAAAGAACCACAGAAGTTGATATATTTTCTACTGTTTTTTAACTACTAGTCAGATCACACGCTGTTACAATCTATCTCAATATTAAACTCAACTAATAACATTTGCTATTGAATAATTCTAGAGTATTATTTATCAAATTTCACATAACATAAATTTCTATTTTACTGTCACTAGAATAGACCATTATGTTCTGGTGGCATAAAAAACATAGCATTACAGAAAATATATATAGTTACACATACTATCATCTGTAAGTATGTTATACCCTTAAAGAAGGTTACAAACGGACAAAGGTGGTACTCAATTGAAAGGAACAGCAATACAGGTGTAGATGAAAGAAAGAGATTTCTTGTAAAAGAGAATACATTACTGAAAGACAGAGAATCGGTTAGCAAGCTAGTAATTCCTGAAGCAAGTCCACCTTATATATATATATATATATATATATATATATATATATATATCTACTGATATAGTCAGTCCACATAGGCGATGGGGAGTGTGGGACATTCCATTACATCACCTCCCCCAAGCTAATTTTCTCATGAAATTCTGCTCAATACCTCTTCTTTTTGGGGTCAGGACATAAATGTTTGACTTTTTCCTCTTCTTAGTACTTTTCTGTCTCACCAGTAGAGAAAAGTAACTTTTAAATTGGCTATATTTTCTGCATGAGTAATCTAGTTTTTTGTCTTTTTAAATCATTAAAAATCAAAATTGCCAACAAAAGTTACCAAAAAAACAAAAGAAATAAAAAGTAATATGTCAGTAGCCTAGTTTCCATACATAATAATGAGATATTTTGTTAAGTTACTGATACTGCGTAATGCTTTAGCTTAAAAAGAATATCTTATTAGAGAGATCAGGTTGACTGAACATAGAAATTTTTTGTTTAAATATATATGAAGTTTTTTTTTTTCTATCTCATATATAAAGTTAGATGATAATTAAAATTCATATGTAAAAATGGTCATTAACTAAAGGTATCTTAATTCCAATTGTAAAGAAAATTTGCTCCGTTTAATGAAAATAAACATTAAGCGCTCTTTCATGAATCAGTTTTAACATATTTCAAATTCTGTGTTGTGTTAATAGGACTCGCCTGGATTATACCAACAGATTACTACCTACCTATATATATATATATATATATATATATATATATATATATATATATATATATATATATATATATATATATAAATAAGAGTTGGGATCAAATATAGATCAAAATCTAACAGAATAAGATAAAGAACAAATAGGAAAAAATAAATGTTTATCTCGTGTTATAAAAACACAAATTATTCCTTAAAAAATGAATTTTATAATGAAATATTTATTATAAAGAATAATACCTGCATAAAGAAAAAGATTAACTTCTTGTGATAAAATTCTTAATGACTTTTTTAATGAAATTATATGTATATACACACTGGGGAGGATATTTGTACACCATGAAATTTTTTAATTAATATAGTTATAAGTCATGAAAAAAATTTTAATACATACAATATTTCTACAACATTTCATAATGCTGCAATATGCAAAAAACAATTAGAAAACTTTGTTATAAACAAAAGTATGTGTTTTTTATAAAATTTCGAGACAAAAAAAGCATTTGTGCAAAATATGACCTTAATATCAAAAGACTTAAATTACCTTTTATTCCTATAATTCTTTGTAAGATTTTGCTAGGTTCTTCCAATTATCTTATTATCGGAACAATTTAGAACATTCTGCAATTCATTTCTTACATAAGGTTATCTCCGCACACAAATCATACACAATAATTATCATCATGGGGAAAGGCAAGGAACTATCAAATTCACAAAAAGAATTGATCATCAAACATTGGAAGGAAGGCAAAAGTTATAGGAAAATAGCAAATATTCTGAATATACCATTTACTACTATTATTTCTGTTATTGCTAAGAAGGTGAAAACTGTTGAGAACAAATCAAGATCTGATGCACCACGCAAGATTTTTGCCAGATAAATGAGAAGAATTCAATGCAAAATTTAAGAAAATCCAATGACTACTCTGAGAGAAATACAGGAAGAATTAAAAGCATCAAGTATTATTGTTATGAAGCAAACAATAAGCAATGAACTTCATAGAAGTCAACTAAGATCGATTTCTCTAAGAAAAACTCCACTGCTATTAAAGAAACATAGGGGTGTCCAGTTAAAATTTGTTTGTGAACATAAGAATAAACCTGTATCCTTTGGGGAAAGTGTTTTATGGACAGATGAAGCAAAAATTGAACTATTTGGGCATAATTCAAGGACTCACGTTTAGAGAAAATACTGCACAGCTTTTGCACTGAAGAACACAATCCCAATGGTGAAATTTGGTGGTGGCAATATCATGGTTTGGGGATTTTTTCTGTTAATGGTACAGGTAATTTATAGATAATAGATGGTAGAATGAATTCCAAAATATGCCAAGATGTTTTGGAGTCTAATTTGTTTGGGTTAGTAGTAAAGCTTGGACTCACAAATGAATGGGTTTTGCAACAAGTTAATGACCAAAACATATGGCTAAATCTACAAAAAAATGTCTTATTGAAAACAACATCAATACACTCAAATGGCCATCAGTCTCCTGACTTCGATCCAATAGAGAATTTGTGATGTTTATTAATGATTTATTAATGATTCAAGTTAATAAAAAAGCTCTGAAAAACATCCTGGACCTAAAGAGAATATGCAAAGAAGAATGGAGTAAAATACCAACAGAAACATGCAAATCATTGATTAAAAGCTACAGAAAGAGACGGGTTGATGTTGAATTGAGTAAGGGATATGCTACAAAGTATTAAATAGGTATTATAATGTTATACAAATACTTTTTTTGCCTCCAAACTTTTTAATTTCATTAATATAACAAATTTTTCAGAATTGAATGACATGGTATATAAAGATTGTATGGATTATAAAATTCATGTTAAATAAAAAAAATTTATGGTGTACGAATGTTTCTTTCCCCTATCCACTATATATATATATATATATATATATATATATATATAATTTCCAAAGAAGATTTGTTAAATTCAACTGACAAATTCTGTTTGTATAATAATGTTTTGTTTAGTTTTTGTTATGTGTTATGAGCTGTTTCAGTCATTATTAAGAACTGGGTGTTTTCAGTGTGGAGGGACAAGATTTTGTTGGCTTTATATATGATGTTTTTTATCTATTATATATAACTAGTGTGCCTGTACCATCAAAATTGACAGCAAAGAGGGATGTATTATAAATAATATGTATTGTAAATAATTTTCATTTAATTCAAGTACAATTTTTTTTTCTGTATAACAATTGATGGGAATTTCATTTTGTTTTTTCCTTATTGCATCATATGTTGGCTTCTTATATAGTATAATTAGGCAAAAATTATTCCTTCAAATAAGTTTTATTAAAGTGTATATACATTTATGTCTATTGAGTATGTTCATCTTCCTCTCCAAATTGCAAATAAACCTTTGCTAAAATGGCAATTGTTGATGTATGCAATTTCCCAAACTTTTATAATGGCTTTTTCCAAGCCCTCAACTTTTATAAGTCATTTTTTAAATTAATATAAAAGTAACAAAAAACAAGAAAATAAACAGTCAGATGTTGGTAACTCCTGACGAGTGAACAGAGCGATTGCAGTGGGTTGGTCTAAAATATAGTCAAGATGCTACAAATATCAATCAGCTAAGTGACAAATTTTATATTTGTATTAATCATATATATATATATATATATATATATATATATATATATATATATGTGTGTGTGTGTTAAGAAATTTGACAAATGGAAAATGTTTCATTGAAACTAGATTTGAATTTGAGTACTTTTTCCTTAAGCTGGCATTTCTCATGATTAAAGAAGAAAAAAAATCAGTGACTTTTAAATAATCTGTTAATATTTATTCTGTAACTTTTCTTTATAAATCTTAGTATATGTCGAAAGTTAATATATTTTCCCAGCGTTTTTATATCAAATTAAAGGTAAATTCTCATCTCATTTTCAGAATTTCTCAAAAGCAGAAAAGAAATTCATGTAGCCTTTTCTGAAATTAATTCAATCCTTCAGAATGGGTTGAAAGTAAGATTTGTTTTTACATCTGTCCATGTGTTTTCTGTGTTAAGAATATGTATTTAAAATAGAGAATAGAATCCTGACAGATGGGAAAAAGTTGCATGATTCATTATTTAAAGATACGCCTACACACACTACTTTTTTTTTTGTTTTTGGGTCTGATGAAGCCTTGAAACGTGAAATGCATAAACAACTCTAGTTTCAATGAAATATTTCCATTTGTCAAATTTCTTGAAAACTTTGTCAGGATTCTATATCCTATTTTAAAGATATAAGTTTCCTATAATATGTATATGTCTTTCTATTACAGGTACTGAGTTACGAAGAATCAATTAAAGCTGCCCACAATGAATACAACTTTGATCATCCAGATGCTTTTGATTTTGATTTGTTGTATGAAACTTTGAAAAGATTAAAAGAAGGCAAAATGGTTGATGTTCCTATTTACAATTTCACCACACATAAAAGAGAAATTCAGAAGGTAAACATTTTAACTCTGTGTGTACATATATACTTGCATACACTGATATGATTTCGTTAATTTTATAGAGTTACCATATTATAAACATCCAAAGAACAAGCAAAAACATTTTAATGATGTTGCTAAAATCCATCTTAAAACTCTTGGTATTGATGCTAAGGGCTAAGAAATGTTGATAAAAATTGATCGGCGAAGAAAACAATGGTAAAAAATGGTTGTAAGGCTTTTAAAGAAAAGAGGGTGATCTTGAAACAGGCTTTAAGAAAGATAATTTTCTGCTTGGGAATACATGCAATATCTATGATAGGGTCAACCTATACCTATAGGTATTGCCTTGCTTGCTACCCAATTGAATTCTTATAGAGGTGAACAATCCAAAGCAGACTGCATGGACAACCGTCCACAATGGTTTACAGGAAAATAGTCAGTTTTGTGACATAGTATGTGGGTCAGCACAAGTTTTAAGTCTTCCATTCATCCATGCATTGAATATTAAGAGTCATAGGAGTTAGGCGTATATAAGAACCGGATAAACTTGAAGACCATACACAACTCTTTTGTCTGCCATATATGCAGCAAAGTCTGCTAAAGTGAAGTGGGCCATTTGAATCACTTACATGCTCAATCCAAAATTGAATAGGTGGCTTTTTTTGCCTTCATCACATGTATGTTGGTCCACATAGCATAGGGCAATTCAGAACTGAATCCTTTATTTAATCTAGTGGAGTACACTGTTCCACTGTTTAGGGATATCCTGTCTAGTTTTTATTTTTAGTACTTCTCAGTTATTCCTCACCCTTTTTCCACAGGATTTGAATTTTTAGGATGAGGAATTATCATTATTTACATGTGGACTACTGTCCTCATCTTTGTTGTTGTTATGACAACGTTTCAGTTGTTGCACCCTCTGATCTTCATCAGGTGCTTGTTGATCCAGGTAACCTTTAGTGAATATTGAATTGAAACCTTTATTTAATCTATGGGAGTAAATTGTTCTTGTTCTGCTGTTTGTGTCTAGGGTTATCTCATCTAGTTCTTATTTAGTACTGTTCAGTTATTTCTTGCCCCTGTTTCCACTGAGTCCAAATATACACCCACCCCCAACCCAGGGATTGCAATTACTGTGTCATCAAATTCACTAGGATATATACCTGTCAAAGGGCACAGTGGCCAAAATGTGATAGCAACAACAAAGATGAGGAAAATAGTCTGAATGTAAATAGTGTAAATAACTCTTCATCCCAGAAATTCAGGTAGAAATTACTAAAAAGATATATAACAAGCAGTGTGAATAATTGCCCATGATGTGTATAGCATCCTAGATGGTAGCATTTGTTTGCTGTTTTGAGTAAACAATCAGAATATTTGTTAAAGCTAATCAATTTTTTCTAAAAAGCTTTAGGATATACATTAACTATTTCGTTTAAATTTAAAGATTTTAGAACCAAGGATGTTCAGGTGGAATTGGCAAGCAGAGTTGAAACTCCCATTAGACTCTTTCATTCTGTTTTGTATAAATATCCTTGGGAAATGCATGAATCCATCTCCTCTTCCATAGCTATGGATTAAATTGGACTCTCTAGCCTTGTGTGGCAGCCAGTCTAGAAGAATTTCTCTGAATTCTAAGTTGTGGAGAGTTAAGAAAAAATGGGAAATAATTTAAGAATATTGAATGAAGCCTGTAGATCTTAGTGGGAACCATCTTTCTTCAAACCTCATGGACTGGTGTTACAGAATCACAAAGAATTTTACCAAATAACAGAAACAAAATGTGCTAGGAAAGTTAGTTCACTCTATTGTTCTAGACAATTTTTCTCTCCAGAATCTATCTTATACATTTGTAAGTCTACCATTCATCCATGCATTGAATATTGCTGCCACATCTGATCTGGTTCTTCTATGTATTTAGAGATTCTTTATAAAATACAAAGAAGAATTGGCAATGTTATTGGTCCTGACCTGGCATCTTGGCTTCGGTCACTTTCCCATTTCTGTAATGTAGCTTCCCTAAGCTTTTTTTTTTTTTTTTTTTTTTTTTTATATAAATATTTTCATGGTAATTGCTCTTTGGTACCTAGACTTTGATTTTCAGTGCAGTACTAGATTGGCTGTAAGGTCTTATCATTTTACTGTTAAAATTGATAGATGTAACCATAAGTTCTATGCAACAGTTTCTTCATGCACTTCTCACTCTTTTCAGGTTTCTTGCTTTCCAATCAACATTGATTTTACATTTTTGAAGATCAATGTTGATCATTACATTCCATCTTTTTAATTCTTGTTCTTTTATTGTTCTCCTTCCTTAATAATGTTTTTCTTTTTTCTTATATTATTTCATACTCCGTAATCCCTTGCTTTATTGCCTTACTTGGGGTGAAATGATTAAAAAAAATCTTGAGGGCTCGCCTAACTGTAGTTTTTACCATCTAATTTCAAAATTGCCTTTACTATCTGATTTGCCTTCATAATTTTATTATTTTTTTTAAATAAATAATTTTAAAACAAAATTTTAGAATAGGATTGTAAAAAAAAAAAAAATGAAATTAAAAAAAAATGCATTAAGAGGAAATGACTAAAGAGCAGAAAAAAAGATGTTTTATTATTTGGTACTGAGATTCATCATTGCTCTTGTATATTCCTCAATTCTCCACACTTCTGTCCTAAATCTTTGCTTCAGTTTAAATTTAAAGATTTTTTTTATAATTCACTTTACCAAAAATTGTTTTAGTAACTTAATTATTTTGTCTTTCAGAAAACTCTTTATGGTGCCAATGTTGTGGTTTTTGAAGGAATTTTGGCTTTTGCAAACAAGAAAATTCTAGACGTAAGTTAAATTTGAATTGATATTTTTACAAATATGTATGAGTAATGTTTCCTGGTTCAAATTTAGTGAAACTCTAATCTTCAGCCCATTCTGTGGAATTACTTATATTAATTGATCTTCTTGTAAAAATCAGGAAAAGAATTTGTTTTAGACTTTCATCAATTGACAGCATTTTGCCCAAATGGAAATGTACTGATTTTTACTTGTCATAATACAGTCTGAAATTGATTCCTGATTTCATAGAGAGTTATCTGTACTTTATTTTTATTTACAAATTTTGAGTTTGAAACTATGCTGCTGCTTCTTATTCTTCTGTGTACCATGTCTCTTCAGGATGTTAGCAAACATGGCTCAGCACAATTTCCTGTTTTTTGTATCTCTTAATAACTTTTGTCTTTTTGTCATCTCCAAAACCCTTCTCCACCATACATTTACTCAAGCTTACCAGGTAGGTAGTATGTTGCATTCCTCTGTTCCTCTTATTTTCAATCTGTTCTGTTAGTATCAAATTTTTTAAGCCTTTCTTCATGTGCCTTAGAAATTTCAGCTGACTCTTCCTGATATTAATCATAAGTCCCCTTTTTGTTTCCATTTTCTTTAAAACTTTGTCGTTGCTCCCACATGTTTGATCCATGGTATTCTCAACATCCATCTGTAGAACCACATTTTTGTTGCTTTAAGTTTCTTCTCTATCTGTGAGGAGATTGTCCAGCATTCACTGCCATATAGGACGATGGCTATTACATAAGTCACTAATAACTATTACAAATTAGAAAAAAAAGGAAAACATTAATAGTTCATGGCTATCAATGATGTAAGCACAGTTTCAAACTTTAAAAACAATTCAACAATTCTTGTGAAAACGGTTTCCAGTTCAAAACAATGATGCAAGCACAGTTTCAAATAAATACAAAGTATAGACAACTCTATGAAGTTAGGGATCAATTTGACACTGTATTTATATTATAAACAGTTTAATTTGATTCTGACAAATGTTTTGGCTTGAGGAAGGTCTAATGAATGCTAATCTACAAAAATTATTCCCTCTCCCCATTTTTCCCCAGTTAAGTTTTTTGACCAGTTAAGTAGTGTCTATTTGGTATCTCCTGTACTATATAGGAAGACTATTGGCATCCCAAAACTCTGTTACTTTCAACTGGACAACACAATTAGGGTGTTTTAAAAGAGATACAGGGATTCCTTCAAAAGATAATTCATCACATGCAATATCAATACACAAACTGAGGACAAAAGAGAAGTCAGCAATTTAAACTTTGTGCTCCTTTTAGCCACTGATTCCCCCCTCCCTTTGACTAGCTGTGACAAAACCCATTTTTTTTGTGCAGGTCTTGTTAATCATTGGTGAACCTGTAAAAGACATGAAGTCTCCTTGATTCAGATTCATTTTTTGTTTAGCATGGGGTAATGGATAGAGGGGCTACTCTGGATGACTATTGCTGTTGAATAGCGAGTTCAACCCTCACTGGGTGCATCATACAAATTTAATATTAAATAACCCAACAAGCATTGACATGTAAAATCAACCAACCAGTCTTGTGAATATGATTTTGTGGGACAAAACCATGATGAGAAAGGTGTGTGTGCATGATATATATATATATATATATATATATATATGTTTATGAGATCAATAAAAAATAGCATAGCATGAATAAAAAAAGGCCTTAAACATAATGAAAATAGTTTTTTACTGCCTAAATGTTTCTTATCAAGAGGAAAGCTCAAAGTATTTTTTGATTATTTTTTTCACATTTTTAGTCATTCCTAGAACGTCCAAAATTTTCATTAAAAATCTTTGTTTTTTTTTTTTCCTTTGAATCGGCAAATTCAGCCATTTTTTTTCACTTTTGTTTACAAAAGTGAAATTCTGTTTAAAATTCTTTTAAAAATCAATTATAATTTTTTTCAAAATTTAATTTAAGAAAATTAGAAATTATAAAGTTTATTTAATATTTTTTGAAACAAACATTACTTGCTTTCTGTGCTGAAAAAAAATGTACTTTAAGATAAGAGAAAGCCGGTCTTAACAGCAGTGTTGATTGACAAGTAACATGTGATAGTTTCATCACACATTGACATTTTACGTCACGAAAAAGTTATTGTATGGAAGGTCAGAAGTAACATAATTTAGCTTTAAGTGAACCAACTTATTTACCTCGTTATTTTTAAGGAAAACTATCAGCACTCTAATCAATTTTTTTTTGTTTGGTACTTAGCTTTCACCTTTGTTTATGATGCTTTATGGAAAAATATAATGTTATAAAAAAAAAAATTAAATAAGACATGAAGAGTGAGATAAAATTTCATAAGAAAGGTACCTAATTAATTAGTTACCTTTCTTATGAAATATTATCAGTAGTGTAAATTTTATGTACATTTATTACATTTTATGGTATTATTTGGATTTCCACTAATTTTATTATTAATTTTGATATTTCATTTATGGAAAAATGACATAACTGAGATAATATAAAACTAAGATCATATAAATTTCATAATACTTTGTTGGTACCCTTATAAGTTGAAATGCTATACATTTTTTCTCTTTTGTTAATTTTTTTAATCTTAAGTTATATGACAATATTGAAAAGGCAATTTTTTCTAATAGTTACATAATCATATACACTTTTTTATTTTATTTTTCATAGCCAAGTAAGAACAGAGGTTTAGAAATTCAGTTCAACTGGTATCAGACTTTCATGAAATTTTTGTGCTTCAACCAATGTAAATGTAAAAATGTAAAGGTCGTTAACAGCACCAAACATTTATATACAAAATCAAATCACATGATGTTTTTAATGTATCTTGTTTCTTCTGGTTTTCTGTACATTTGAATTACAGTTGTTTTATAGACACAAAAGGCAAGGAACAGTAAGATTTTTTTTCTAACTGGATGCTCATTGATTGTAAAAAGCTGGTGCAATTTATAATCTGTACCGATAGATCTACTTAATAAAACCATTAAGTAAAGGATTTGTCATTTCCACTAATTTTACAAAATTAACAACTTTAATGTAAAAATAATAAAATTATTTAAGAAATAACAATTCTTTTAAAAATTCATTTTTCATTGAAAAAGTTTTTTAGCTTCAGACAACATATTATGCATATTCATAAAAACAACTAAAAGCATTTGAAATTAAATAATATCTTTGTTTTATTGAGTTTTGTATGTTACAATTCAGAGCTGATTTTTAGGTAGATGAGGTCCGATTTTAAAAAAAAAACATAATTTACTTTCCTCAAAGCCTTGTGCTTTTAACTAATATAATGACTTGTGTGCTTCAACATTGAATTTCTAGAGTTTTCATAAAATTTTCTATCAGTGGGTAATATATATAATATGGACACACACACATATATATATATATATATATATATATAAAAAATTTTTATCATTACTTTAAAAAAATAACATATTTATGATAATTTCCATCATTCGGGAATAGTTTCTAAAAGTTTCATTAAAATCTGACAATTATTTCTATTTTGGTAAGATTTTCAAAATTAATGTGTCAAAAAAAAAATGGACAAAAACTTGCAACGAGAAACAGTTTTTTTTTTTTTTTTTTTTTTAATCAAAAGTTAAAATGTTCTAAAGACAGAAAAAAAATTTTAAAATAATTAAAAATACCTTTGTTCTTTCCTCTTAATAGTAGCATAAACCTTTTGATAAAATAATTTTATTTTCAGCAAGTTTAAGGCCGTTTTTATCATGCTGTGCTCATTTTCCAGCAGTGTGTGTGTATATATATATATATATATATATATATATATAATTCAAGTGATAACGTTAAGTGGATGAGATCAATATTTTACTTAAGATTCTATTAAGATAATATGAAAGCCTTTCTTTTTATATTTGATCTAAAAATTGAAAATATGTATTTTTGTGTTATATGAATTTATTTTATTTATTTTAACTTTTAGCTGCTGGATATGAAAGTATTTGTAGACACTGATTCTGATGAACGGTTAGCACGGCGTCTTCGGCGTGATATTACTGAACGTGGTCGGGACCTCCATGGAATTCTCAAAATGTACAGCAAATTTGTGAAACCAGCATTTGATTATTATATCGCTCCCACAATGAGTTATGCTGATATAATTGTTCCACATGGTAAGAGATTCCCAAAACTTGTTCTTTATGTATATCTCAACCAAGTATATTTACCTGGCCTTCACATCAAGTAGGGACCTCTACTAAAAACACGATATCTAAGGTTTAAAATGAATTTTAAAAAATTAAAAATCTTTCTCTAAGCTTTTATTTTAGTTTTAATTTCAAGTTAATAGATTAAATTCAATATTTCCAATAAGTGAAATACTTTGCTGTATTTCAAAAACTAATTTAAATTAATTAGGTTTTTTTCCTTTTTTCTAAAATAGCTGATTAGCACCCTTTTTTAGTTGTTTTTCATCACAATGTCATTTTCTTTATTAAAAAATCTTTTAAAAATAAAATATACTCTTCAGAACCTTTATTTGAGGAATATTAGCTTATTTAAATTATAATTAATCTGATTTCAAACAATTACTATTTACTTTAAGTTGAAAAATAGGAGAAATGGATTTTTAAATTAAACAGTAGCAGTGATTAAGTACTTATCAAGGCTCATAAATCACTTAACAAGTGCTTTTGAAGGTGTTGACAGTTTTGTTGTCGTTCTTTGGAGACTTTATCTGTTAAAAGATAATTTAAGGAAATAATGTATGAATGCTTTTTTATATAATTTTTAAGTTCTCAGTAATCTTAAAAATGTTGGAAATATTCTCCGTAATCTAATTTTAGGAATATTGACTATAGTCATTGATCTTATTTTCTGATAATGTCATCTATGGTCACCCATACATTCAAATGGGCATGTTTATATGCATAAAAAACAAATTTTTAAATTATTTTAAAAATCTTGGTATTAAGCTTTACAATTTTTGCTTAGTAAATATAGTCTTCACTTACTTCACCTACTGAGAATTTTGAAGATTTTTTTTAAAAGATTTTTAAATCTTTATAAATTAATATAATTAAATGAAAACAATTCTTGTAAAAATTCACTATTAATCAAAAAAAAAAATTTTTCTTCAGACTAATAATGCCCTTAATATATATTTATAAAAGCAATTAAAAGCTTATCTAATTAAATAATGTCAATTGCAGTTCTCATTTTATGATTCAGAGCAGATTTTCAGGAACTGAGTAACTGTTTTGGGAAAAAAAAACAATGGGTGATTTACATTCTCCAAGGAGTCCTGCATTTAAATTTGGAGGATGGAATTTAATTTTTAGAAATTTCATGAAATTGAATAAGTGTGGAGTAACAGATGTAAAAAAAAAAAAAAAAAAAATATTGTTACCAAGATTTTTCTAAAAATTATAATTTCAAAAATAAATTCATTCATTTGTGAATAAATCCTGAAAGTTTCATTAAATTCTGACAATTATTTGATTTTTGCAAGAATTTCCAAATCAACATGTTACTTTACTGAAAAAAAAAAGGCAATAAAATTTTTTATAGTCAGTTCTGTTACACTGTTGATGCATAAAAAACAATATTTTTTTAACGAAAATTTTGAATGTGTTAGAAAGGAGTAAAAATTTTTAAAAATAATTAAAAAATACTTTGGTCTTTTCTGTTAATAACATTAACATTTTGACAATAAAACTTTGTTTTTATTTTGTGCCTTTTTTCATAATGCTATACTGTTTTTTAGCAAAAAAGTGGAGGTATCTACTTTAGAGTATTAGGTCAAAGTAATTATGCTGATATCACTGATAAGCCTATCGTTCATTTTTGATTTAATATTATTTACACTCAAACTAATGTCTTCACCTTTGTTTAGGTACCTCCACGAAATCGCTAAAAAAAGAGCATAGCTTGATGAAAAAGACGCCAACCTTGCCAAAAACTAAATTTTATTGTCTAAATGCTTATTTTATTATTAAGAGGAAAGACCAAAGTTTTTTTTTAATTATTTTTAAAAAATTTTCCTTCTTTTTAGAACATTCTAAATTTTGATTAAAAAAAACATTTTTTCTATTTGTATTAGCGGAACTAGTAAATAACATAGACAATTTTTAGCACGTTTTTTTGGTATGACACACATTAATTTGAAAATCGTGCAAAAATAGAAATAATTATCGGATGTTAATGAAAACTTTCAGGAACTATTCACAGATGATCGAAATTATTATAAATATTTTTTTTTTATGAAAGTCATGGTAGAAATATTTTTAAAAAATATTTATTACCCCCCATAACTAATTTTATGAAAACGCTAGAAATTCGATCGCATCGGTTTTAGTGATTACAATAATTAAAAAGCACAGGGCTTTGAGGAATGCAAACCATGTTTTTTTTTTTTTAATTGGAAACCCAGTACCTGAAAAATCAGCTCTGAATTGTAACATACAAAACTCAATAAAACAAAGATATTATTTAATTTCAAATGCTTTTATTTGCTTTTAGTTGTTTTTATGAATATGGACAATATTTTCTGAAAGCAAAAAAAATTTTTTTCGATGAAAAATGAATTTTTAATATAATTATTTGTTATTTCATTAATTATAATAGATTTTACATTTAAGTTGTTAAAATATAAAATTAGTTAAAAGTCAAGATCGGCTTTCATAAGTGTCCTTATGAGATAGATCTTTTTAGCGTTGTAAATTGTATCATTTTGACTAATCAGAAGATCCCCAGTAATTAAGAAATGTAATTTTGTGCTTATAATCGAGCTGTAATTATAAAATACGGAAGACCAACCAGAATATAATTAAGTTGCATTATTTGAGTTAAGCATTGTTCTCCGCTGTTAAGGCCTTTACTTTTGCGAAACACGTGTGGAGAAGTTAATTTGATTTTTCAATTTCAACCGAGAAGGGTACCTACAAGTATCAGTATCATCTTATGAAATTTATATGATCTTATTTTTATATTAATCTCAGTTACGACATTTTTCCATAAATGAAACATCAAAATTAATAATAAAATGAATGCAAATACAAATAACAGTAGAATGTAATAAATGTACATAAAATTATAGTATTTTATGTACAATTCTGATAAAATTTCATAAGAAAGGTACCTATAAATTAATTAGATACCTTTCTTAAGAAATATGAAATTTAATGTCACTCTTAACAGTTTTATTTTAATTTCTTTACAATATATTTCCCATAAAGCATCATAAACGTAAAGGTGAAAGCTAAGTACAAAAAAAAAAAAAAAAAAAAATTAGACCGCTGAAAGTTTTCGTTTAAAAATAACGGGTAAATAATTTGTTCACGTAAATGTAAATTATTTCACTTTTCTCCTTCCCAGAGAACAAATTAGCCTCATGGAATTCAGTAAATATATCATTCATCATCATGTCAAGAGACGAAAGTTTATGACCTGCTTTGTTTTATTTTCAAATTACATCTTTTGGCACAAAAGCTAAGTTAAGTTTGGTTCAAAAATATTTTAAATAAACATTATAATTTCTGATTTTCTTAAAATAAGTTTTGAAAAATGATAATTGATATTTAAAAAATTTCAAAGTCAGATTTCCAGTTTTTTTTTTAAAATGGAAAAAATGGTCAATTTTGCTGACTCAAAAAAACTAGATTTTTAACGAAAATTTCGGACGTGCTAGGAACGATTAAAAATGGAAAAAAATACCCCCAAAATACTTTGACCTTTCCTCTTAATAATAACAGACATTTAGACGATAAAATTTTGTTTTCGTCAAGTTTGGCATCTTTTTCATCATGCTATGCTCTTTTTTTAGCGATCTCGTGGAGGTACCTACCTTTGTTGTTATTACGTTTCAACCATTGTGCCCTTCAGCCTTCTTCAGGTGTTTGTTAAGCTGAGTAACCTTCAAGAAATTCAAATTTTATTTAATCTGTAGAGATATGTTGTTTTCATTTCACTGTTCCTGTCTAGTCATGTCTTGTTCTCATTTTTTTAGTACCGCTCAATTATTGCTAGGCCTGTTTTTACTGAATCTGCACCTATACTACCCAGCCCAAGAATTGAACGCACAATTACTGTGCCACCAAATTCATGAACCAACACTTTAATCCTATACTTTTTTGGGAGAGAATCCTGAGTCTATAAGTGGGAGCTAAAACTTAATTTTTTTTTTTTTTTTGCTTATCTGCTGCTTTGCTTGACCATCTTTGTCTGCCACTTCTAACTGCTGCTACGGAGAACAAATCTATGAAGCTTAGCTCTCATTGCTGTCATTTTTCTTTGTTATTAATTTTTATTTTACTATTGCTTTTAACACTTTAAATCGTTAAATCATACCAAACAACTTAAATAATTCCAGCTCAATGATACTATAGAGTTTTGAATTGCACTCAACTGGAGAAAAAATATTTTTCAAGTGAGCTATGTTAAACCCTTTTAGTTGTTTTTTTTTTTTTTTTTTTTTTTTTTCACAACTTTGCTCAGATTGTCAATTGGTTAGACTTTAATTCATGTTCCCTTTTGCCTTAGGGAAGTCTTGTTGAATTCATCAATGGCTATAATCAGCCAAGCTACAAGACCAACATTTAATAAGGGATTGTATTAAATGATTGACTCCAAAGTTTTTGGAATACCATATATGATAGAACCTTGCCTTTTACTGATAAAAATGATAAAGTTCATTTTGAGAGAAGACAGCCTTTAAAATGTGTATACTTTTGGACTGTAAGTTACATTCCAATCTTGACCTCAACAAATATTTAAAGTTTCAGAACTTTATGCATTTTGCACAAAAAACTCTCTTTTTCCTAACAAATTGACAGCTTTGATTATATTTGATGTACAAGTCATTACTTTTAATTTCTCATTTTTCCTTCTGTCTTCATTTTCTTACATCCAGGAATTTAAATTATTGTGAATGCTCTGAAAATGTTACTTATAATCTATCACTCAGTTGGCCTACATTGCTAGCTTGTGGTTTTTCTATTTATTTATAGATAACATCAATAAATATTTGTTCACTGTAACTATACTGAGAAGACCTTAGTTACAGGTTCTGCATCATCTGGCATGATCTACAAGGCTAGCATGCTTAAAATCTAATGACATGACTTTCTGCTAGCACAACCATTGACCGCTTCCAAACAGTTACACCTATCCATTTTATTCAGAAGATTTGGGTCATTCCATTCTATACTTTAGTCATTTTCTAAAGTTGCTGCAAAATAGGATTGCTAACCCAAGCTGATAGAATCAAGAAGTTATCTTCCTGACAAATTTACAATACTGAAATTTGAACTTTGGTCTCCTGGTTGGATGAAGTGAGAAAGAAAGGGAGATGTCCAAGAGGATGCATTTTAACCTGTTGGCTAAAGTCTCATCACCACATGCTGGCTTGCCTCACTAGTAGCCTAGCTAGGGGTCTATCCATCCCAGGCAACATTTTCATGGGGACAGCACTTTAGGGTCTGCTGTAGAAGCCTGTATAGAAAAAAAAGAAAAGTTATTTTGTAGAAAGTTGTAGTTTTCATTTTGTAAATAAAGATGGCCCTAACTTTTTACGCTTTTTAGTTTTATGTTGATTTTGTTTAATGGTTACTTTAAAGTCTAAGCAGGTTTAACAAGTATTTAAAGTATGCTAGTATATTTGAGTATGTGAAAGTAACATAATGCTACACAAACTAGTTTTTTATATAGAAGGAGTCACTTTGCAATATGTTGTATTTTTTTGTGGAGGGATAGGAGGAGGGGCAACAAATTCAAAGGCTATTCCAGGTAGCACATTCTCTAGCTACACCACTATTCAACCCTATGTAAGGAATTAGTGTAATTCTGATTGGATAGTATGCTGAATAAACATTTTCAAAATTTGTCTGATTTCAGCAGAATTTTGGTAAACACATTAATCTTGTCATCACAACTTCCTTGAGGATGAGAAGTGGAGGTAGGGAAAATTCAATTGTACTGAATTTAATAAATCTTACTTGGTTTATTTGGGATTCAAATCACATTGATGCCATTCTTCTAAGCATTTTATAAGTTCTGGTTAATATTTTAAAACTGAACTTTCTTCCATCTGGTTTCAGTTTTCTATAATTTTTTCCACTTGCCATTTTTATTCCTTCACCTAGAATTTATATTTCTCCCAATATCATAAGTCACTTTCATGACTCTCAGTGCCTGAAGACGATTTCATGCATTATTATGACTCCATCAAGGACACTGCTCTATTATGTATTTAGTATTGTTGAAGTTATTGCCAACATTTTTTGTTGAGATTTACAAACTCTACGTTTCGTTCAATTTTGCAAATCAATCGATGAAATTTGAATTAGTTGATTTGTTTAGAAAATACTTTGACAAAACTCCAATTTCTTATTCTTGAGCATGCAACATACAACTGGCCATGTATAAATATTTCTTTATGGAGCCAAATTCTAACTTTTTGAAACGTTTGGGTTTGTGATTTGTTTATAGATCTTGCAAATGCAGGGCGAACTGGAAACTGAATTCTTGTACATGTAAAAACTTAAAGAAAAGATATGCAAACAACAATATTGCATTTTTATTAAATAAGTAGGAATGTAGCTTGTACATATAGCATGGAGTAGCAAGAGGCTCAGTTTCATCTGTAGGGTTCAAAATAATTCATCACCCACAAGGCTGATTAGATGTTTTTGAACTCTATCAAGATAGTGGAGGGACCACTTGGGAACCCAGGGTACTGTAAACAAAACCATCTACAATTTGAAATATGCTTCAGCTTTAAATAACACCATGTTGATAAACTCTGTAAAAAGCAACAAATTAATCAAAAGCAAAAGATCCTTTGAAGATAATTATTATCAATTGTTTGACTTGTTAAGCATTGCCATAGGATGACTTTTGTTACCCTTTCAACTCTTCTATATTTACAGGTGGAGAAAACAGTGTTGCAATTAATCTAATTGTCCTTCATGTGCACAAACAGCTTCAAAAGGTGAGTTAAACAGTCATTTGTAAGACAAAAAGGCTTTACAGAGCCACAAGACAAAATGAACTGAAATAAAAACTATAATTTGAAAAATAACCAGCACAAAGTAGTCAGTGATCAAACTCTGGTTTACCAAGATAATCTAATAAGACTGATTAGGATAGGCAAGTAGTGTAATGGTTAAAGGAATACAAGGAGTAGATAGGTTTGTCTATCATCCGGTTCACACTCCTCCCCCAGTCTTTTAAACAGGAGTAGAGGTTTCTCCCTTGTTTCCTGTTTAGGATTGAATTTCTGGTTCCTTGTAAAGTCTACTTCAGCTCTATACTCTTAATGCTTGTTCTTTCCTATACTAATGTAAGTCCACACAGTAACCCTCTACCTTGAGTGGCTCTTGCACCGTGTATTGGGTTAACATTAGTAAAAAAAAAAAAAAATCATGAGTTAAAATTCCAACCTAGTCTGACACATTTATTTTCATTCTAATACCCTATGGATTAACTATCAGAGTTGATAGATTTGGATGTCACCAAGTCTAAGAGGACTATTCTGTATTCAAAATTGTGGAGAAGGCAAAGGAAAACTACTCCATTATGTTTCCCAAGAAAAGTAATCTGTGGATAGTCATGATTGCCTGTTTTGAAAGGATACTGCATTTAAAAATTGTATAAGTCATTTTCATATATCTGGATGTGTTGGTGATGTAATGGATAGAAGCTTGGAATAAAAAATTGAAGAACCAACTTCAAATTCCAGTCTAGTTCCTTACATTCACTTGCAAATACCCATCAGAAAGTTATGAATCCTTCTCTTCACCCCCAGCTATGTATTAAATAGAACAGACTGAACTCTTTAACCTTGGTTGGCAATGAAAATATATACAAAATACGCACAAGATATACTTTAATGAAAAATCAAACCAAAACAAAGTTTTTCAAAACATCCTGCTGCATTTCACTAATTTTTACAGTTTAGTGTCTAGAATGTTTGTCACACATATATGAATATTATCTGTTACTTCATTACACATGACACATTACTAACCAATAAGAATTAATCAAACTGTGATGACTTACCTCGGAGCTCAAAACATGTGCAAACAGCAGAAGGTAAGTCATTCGACAGATTTCGTGAAACAGTCGGACGTGCGAATAGACTGGCAGACCAAGAGTCGGTTGAAGTAGGCACGTCTGATTTGGGTGTCTGTTTCATGACTGCCCGGTGTAACAGCCAAGAAAAGGAGTCTCGCAATTCATTTCTTTGAGGCGACGACGGCAAAGAAGAACAGCTGGTTTGCCGGCGAACTCTCTCATCACTTTCTTGTTTTTTTTTTTTTCTCTTCTTTTTTTTTTCTACAAGCTATTTTGGCAGATTATGGCGAAGGTTCACATAAGCAGTGACATTATAAAACCGTTTTCCAGCCAGGCCGATGTGGTGGCATGGCTGAAAAAGGTTAGGCTGGTGGCAAGACTTCAGCAGAGGACAAGGCATCAGCGCCAGCCTTCTCCACAACCAAGATGTAAATACGGCATTCCCGGTGGCAAATGTCCTTGTTGACGGAACTTTGTACTCAGCGCTGATCGATACCAACAATTGTGGATGCAGATCGGTGCCAGTCTTGGAAGAAAGTGAAGGTGGATGTCATGACTATTAGAGGCGTGTCCCGTCCATGTTGCGGCGTGGGAGTGGTGACTGTATCCACGGAGGAAGGCAGTTCTGCTAAGATCGACATGCTGGTGGTGCACAGCAAACCACTAGGATTTGACCTGCTATTGGGGATTGATGCCATAACACCATTGGGAGGCATTACTGTAGTGCCTACGGGACGAGCACAGATTGGCAATGAACAAGTAGCCAAATGTGCAGCCATTCCTGTGAATGAATCCGACTTCACTGCCACCTTCGACCACCGGAGGCAATCCTGGACTGTGGCATGGAAGTTGTCGGAGAACTGTGCGCCTGAAAGACTGCACAATGGGGTCTCTGAGTACCCGGTAGCAGCAGAAATCAGTGAGGACTACGAACAGGAGCTCCGCATGTGGATCAGCAGTGGCTGGCTTGTACCGTACCCAGAAGAAAAACTGGAGCCTCCCAAGGGGCTAATTCCCCTGATGGCTGTACTACAGCAGAACAAGTCGAAGGTATGCCCGGTGATGGACTTCCGGGAGCTCAACCATCATGTTGACGCTTTCACAGCTGATGCAGACGTCTGTGCAGCTAAACTGCATGAATGGCGGCAAAAAGGATCCAACGTGTCCTTGTTGGATCTCAGGAGAGCGTACCTCCAAATACGTTTCCACGAGTCACTCTGGCCATACCAGACCGTGAAAATTTATGGGAGAAGATATTGCCTGACACGTTTAGGATTTGGATTAAACGTGGCCCCCCCCCTCATCATGAAGGCGATCATCAGTACGGTTCTGGCTCAGGAAGAAGCTGTGGGTCGTGTGGCATCTGCCTACATTGACGACGTCTATATCAATGAAAATGTCGTTCCTGCGACCCGTGTTAAAAAACATCTGGCCCAGTTTGGGCTGGAATGCAAGGACCCAGAACGGATGGAGGATGGTGCACGGGTACTAGGATTGGCATTTGCGATGGAACAAGGAAGACTGTGGTGGAGACGAGGAAGCGTGGTTCCTAACACCCCCGATGTCATTACGCAACGGAAGGTGTTCTCTCTGTGTGGAAGGCTTGTTGGTCACCTCCCAGTGTGTGGTTGGCTCCGTGTGGCATGTGGAATGCTCAAGAGGAGAGCAAGTACAGTTACGAAGTGCTGGGACGATGAAACAAAAGATGCCCTTCTCCAGCGCATGGTGTCTGAGACCGTGGATTCTGTGCAGCGGGGCAATCCAGCTCGTGGATAGTGGTTCATTGATACCCGGGAGCAGAATATGTGGGTCGATGCAAGTTTCCTGGCGACCGGAGTAGCGTTAGAGAGCCACGAGATGGTTCTGGAGGATGCTTGCTGGTTGCGACCTAAAGATGACGCTCAGCACATCTACCTGGCCGAGCTGGATGCCGTGTTGAAAGGCATCAATCTAGCACTCCAGTGGCAGAGCAAGATGCTACACTTAAAAACGGATTCCGTTTGCATGTACCATTGGGTATCGGATACTCTGACTGGGAGAGTGCGAGTTCACACCAAGGCGGTAAACGAAATGCTCATCTGGAGGCGGTTGAGCACTCTTAAGGTGCTCGTGGAAGAGTATCAGCTGATCGTGGACATGGCACTGGTCCCTTCGGCTCTGAATATTACTGATGGACTGACAAGAGTACCGCAGCAATGATTTGACGCAATAAAGACATGTAATGGACCCAGGCCAATGATTGGCGCCACCCATGTGGACAAACTAGACGCAGATCAAATCATGTCCATCCACAGGAACAGTCGTCACCCAGGAGTGTGGCGTACTATCTACTTCGCCAGGAGAGTCTGCCCATCAACGACAAAAGCAGCCTTTAGATCAGCTATATGGACGTATGAGGAATGTCAGTCCATAGACCCTACACCAACTCGCTGGAAAAAAGGAAAGCTTGAGGTCAGCGGAAACTGGCAGAGACTGGGGATGGATATCACCCACTATGGTGCCCATCATTTCCTAACGCTGATGGACTGCAGCCCATCGCATTTTTCAATCTGGAAGCAGTTGGCAAGACAAGACTCGGTGGCCATCATTCGCCAGCTGAAAAAAGTGTTCCTTGAGTGGGGCCCACCCCATGAGCTACTCACGGACAACGACCCAGCTTTCTGCAGCAGGGAATTCAGAGTTTTTGCGCGCAAGTGGGGAGTCAACTTGCGGCTCCTCAGCACATATGCCCCATCTGGGAATGGTATAGCGAAGCAATGCCACCACACAGCAAAACGAATCGCGGCCAGAATGTGCTGTTCCATACAGGAAGCCATCTACTGGTACAATGTCACACCAAAAGACAGTACATCACCCCAGACTGCGCCCGCCAACACAATCCACTGATACGAACTGAGGGTGAAAGGGATTGATGCCCTAACAATGTCTTTAGACCCTGGGCACGGCTCCTATCAGGTCGGAGATTGTGTGTGGGTCAAGGCGCCAATAAGTCGGTGCACCAACAGGTTCTATAAGGGTCGGGTGACAAAAATGATCAGCCCGCAGTCATTTCTGGTGGACAGAATACCCTGCCATGTTAAGGATCTACGCCTGCGCCACAGTTATGGTGCACCTAAGGAAGATTCTGACGACACATCTGAGAGCGAGACGGAAATTTAGCTGCTTGATGAAGAAAGTGTGGAATGCATCAATCCACCTGAAGAGGGAATAGAAGCAGAGCCCCCCTCTGACAATCCACCCAAAGGGGGAGCGAGATCAGAGCCCCCTGCCCTGCCTTTACAAAGAAGCACCCGTCGAAAACAACCGCCGCCGGACTGCCACCTTTGTGATCATGAGATCAGGGTGGGGTATAATGACTTACCTCGGAGCTCGAAACATGTGCAAACGTGTCTTGCTTGCAAGATAAATCCGAGAGAAAACATGGCTGCTGCCGAAGACGCGATTTATACACGCCGGTCTCGTCCAAAACAAGATTGTACCAGTACACATGCAAATTTCAGCAGTGTCGGACTAGCATAAAAAGGCGAGGTGCCAGCGGCACAGCAGAAGGCAAGTCATTCGGCGGACTTCGTGAAACAGTCGGACGTGTGAATAGACTGGCAGACCAAGAGGCGGTTGAAGTAAGCACATCTGATTTGGGTGTCCGTTTCATGGCTTCCCGGTGTAACGGCCAATAAAAGGAGTCTCGCAATTCATTTCTTTGAGGCGACCGACGGCAAAGAAGAACAGCTGGTTTGCCGGCGAACTCTCTCATCACTTTCTTGTTTTTTTTTTCTCTTCTTTTTTTTTTCTACCACACACCATTAAGCTGCGTCTCTTTGCTTTTATCATTGTTTATCATTCTATCTTGATCTCTGATAAAACTTTAATAAAGGGAAGCATGTTAGATTGGGATTTGTTTCCTACTTGTTCTTTATCCTATCATTTTGTCGGATTCCTATCCTTACTTGATCTATATTTGATCTTCTACTCGTGTGTGTGTGTATATTGTCAGAGTTAGCTCCTCCTCAGCTCCTTAGCCCTTCACCAGGGGTCTCTCTCCCCTGGCTATAAATACTGGCTGACCCTTCACCTCAATCTCTTTTTTCCTCAGGCCTTGGGCCTTACACCACCTCACAGATGTGAGATCTCACAGATACAGCGTTTCCCAAATTCTGGGAACACGCTAAGAACAATACACATACATACGAACACTCACCACAACACACACACATAATATTCACCGCACAAACTCTATGTAACTGTCTATGTGGTTGTAACTTGTTGTTAATACATATATTTGTTTACATATATTTATCAGTCTTCTTTGTTTTCTTTGGAATTAATACCCACATGTGTTCTTCTACAATACATACTCATTACCCAATGGTCTGCTACAAAATATATATATATATATATATATATATATATATATATATATATATATATATATATATATATATATAAAGTATTCTGAACCAACACCTTGCAAAAAAATAATTTTATTTCACAAGAACAAAACCTAGCAAGAAGATTCATATTACACATTTCAATTTTTACTTTAACTGTTTTATTATAGAAATTAGATTTGAACTAATTTCAAATCACATTTTTATTTAATTTTTTATTTATTTTTTATTTATTGGTTTCTCCAAGGTTTATGTATCCCACATTGTTTCAGTATTAATTTATTAAGAAAGGGGAATAAACTTAACAAATCCCTGTCATATATTAATCTTTGGGGACTCATCGTAATACCATTAAGGCATCTATATCTGAGTAAATCGGATTCACTTTTTATTAAAACAAATTTTAAATAAATAGGAGTTGAAATATAATTTCTTTAAAGTGATGAATATTTGTGTAAAAGGGTTCTCCATTATGCCTTACTGTTGAAAAATTAAATTCCACAAAGAACTTTGGCAGAATTCCATCTCACAACTCGCACTGGAGTTTTACTGAAGGCTTATTCTTTATTACTGATCCATGTTACTTACTAACAGCCTGTGAGTTACAATAAAAAGCAACTGAAATTAAGATGAAAGGAATTGTAATGAAGTAGTAATATTTTTTATTTAAAATTATTTAAAAATTGAAACAATAATAAAAATTTTTTTCATTTTTCAGAGAGGATTTAAATTGCGATCAAAACTTGCATTGATGTCTTTGAGTGGTCAGCCAATGCCAAACACTCTGCATGTGTTAGAGATGACTCCTCAAATTCAGGGACTTCATACTTTGATCAGGTAAAGAAAGATTGCTTACTATTAAATACTGTTTCTTTCATATATATATATATATATATATATATATATATAAATTTTTATATATCAAGAACAGTTTTGAGAGAAAGGCATATGACAAAGTGGAAAACATTTTTGTGTGACACATTTCATCCTTTAGGACTTCATTTTTCTGATGATATATATATATATGTGTATGTGTTCATTCTGAGTAGACATATTCTTAATTTCTAAATATGGCCATTACATTGTTTGTGTTCATAATTGATGTTATTAAGGGTTTGTTTTTTTTTTTTCCAAATTATTGTTTAACAAGCATGTATTAAAGTGACATTGCTGCCCAAATACAATTCTGAGATGTGAACTTATCATTTATTGTCAGACTAATTGTTCACAGAACAGTGGCTTCTTCTATGTGCCATGTGCCCTCAGGATGTGGGTGATCATGGCTCTCCACAATTTCATGTACTCTGTAACTCTTAATAAATTTTGTCTTTATGTATTCTCTCCTAAACCTTCCTCTACCATTCATTTACTCAAGTTTGCTAGGTAAGTTATGTATTGTTTCCCTCCATCCCTCTTGATTTCAATCTGTCCTGTGAGTATCAGATTTACCAAGCCCTCTTTCTTCATTATGTGCCCTAGAATTTTCAACTGCCACTTGGTGTTAAGTATAAGTGTCCTTTTTGTTTCTATTTTGTCCAAGACTGCACTGCTCACATTCAGTTCATGGTATTCTTAGCATCTTTCTGTAGGAACATATTTCTGTTGCTTCAATTCTCTACTTGATCTCTGAGGAGATTGTCCAGCATTCACTGCTAGTAGTACTGATATTTACATAATAGTTTAATAGTCTTTTCTTTGTTTTTAATGAAATTTTCCAGTTTCTTAATACTTTGTTTAGCTTTTGTTGCTTTTGAATTTTGTGAATTCAATCCCTGGGCTAAGTAATACAGATATACTCACTTAGTGGCAACAAGACAAGCTAATAACTGAACAATTAACCATGAATAGATACCTCTAGATATAGACACTAGAATTAGAATTATCTATTCTCCACGGATTGAATAAAGGGTTCAGTTTGAAATTATCTAGTGGTAACCTGGATCATTAAACACCTGAAGAATGCCAGAATGGCTGAAATACATGTGAAAGCATGTGTGATACCCTGCCCTCATCAGCTGATAACCAGGGGGAAGTAACACAGTTTTGGTGGATAAGGTGGTACTTCCACCCCTGGTGCCACCACCAGCTTTTGCCACCAGACAGGGTATTGTTTTTATCGTAAATGTGTCAGTCACTGTGATTTTTATGCAACTGCAAGTCAGATTTTTTAATGTTGTATTCAATAAAAGCATTTGTTTTTGATCGTTAAACAAAACAACAAATTCTTAAATAGTCAGATATCAGCCTGACTGTAAATAATAATACACATATTTTTTATTTTTAACATAAGCAATTTGTTTCCAATTCATATGCTTGGTTAACAATTGGAGAATTTAAAAGGAGTGTAAAAAATACAAAACCAACAATAAAAAAATAGTAAATAGTAATATTTTATTTTAGCATTAAAACAATAAATTCTTGAAGATCTTACAATACAAATGCCACACATGATATGTTACAAAATTTAATAACAGCAAAAAGAACAGATATAATTAAAATGGAAAACAACTACAGTAATTGGCAGTATGAAAAAGAGAAAAAAATAATTAAAACAGAGTTAATTGGTTATTGTTCCTCACTGATCAGAACTCAATCCAGAAAAGTAAAAAAATATTTGCACAACCAACTAAAAAAGAAACATGAAAAAGAATATACACATATATCAATAATATATTGAGATGGGAATATTTTTATAAAAAAAAAAAAAAAAAAAATCATGTTCAGTTCTAACAAACTATTCCTTTTTTTTTACATAAAGAAGGTTGTCTCGATTTAAAGAAAATAGTTTGAAGGAATTTTAAATGATAAAAGGTGATGCACACATAACTTAGAATGTCTCTTCAAAAGATGACACACATTCCTGATTTTGTATAAGTTATCTTGCAATTGCAAACCCGGATCTAATGACATTTATGCAAATTATCTATTCTTTCTGTTCTTTCAGAAATACTTCTACTCCAAGAAATGAGTTCATCTTTTATTCCAAACGCTTGATGCGAATGTTATTTGAATTTGCCATGTCTCTATTGCCATTTAAGGTAAGTCTCTTTGATAAATATGCTTGAGATGGCTATACCATATCGATCAATCAATCATCAGCTAGTCAGCTACAGAACAAAAGTCCTTCCCAAATTCTTTGACAATCACTATGATTGTTATTCTCTACCATGTCTTACCAACAAACCACTCTAAATCATCTTCCCACCTTCTATCTGACCTTTCCTTACTATATTTCAGCAATGTACACAAAAAAAAAAACTGTGTCAAAAGGATGATTATTCCATTGACATCAATATTACTCTATATATCGTCCTGGGTATGACGATAAAATAAATCTGGCAGCAAGGCCTCTTGGATTGGAGATTGAAAAGGTTTTAAAGAGCATGGAACCACCTCTTAACTGCTGTTTTTCCCAGGTCTACCCTGGCCCAGGGCGTAGCACTGGTTAGGTCCAAAGCTATGGGCAAATAGTGACCCCCCCCCACAAAAAAAAGTTAACAGTACATTTTTATAATAAAATGATCAACAATACATTTTTATAGCAAAATGGCAATCAATGCAATGCTAAAATATAAAAATATTTTTATAGTAAAATTAGCAACAATACATTTTATAATCTATAAAATATATATCTAAAAAAAACATACTTTTACTCTGAAAGTATAAAATTATGTAAAAAAATATCTGTAGTTGAAAGCATAACATTACATCCAAAATATTTAGATTTCAGCATTAAATAACCATAGATGTTGATATACCACCAAACAAAAGCAATCAAACAACCAGACAGAACAGAAGTGACATCATTTTTTCAAATCTTAAGTGAACTAATTTAACTACACGTTAATTTTAAAAAGTTAACGAATACTTTCAGCAATCTAATAATTTATTGATTTTCTTTTCTTTTTTTAGGTACTTTAGCTTTATAGCTTTAAGTCTGAAGATGATTTCTGGAAAAATAAAATTTAAAATACTAACAATAAAATAAATCTAAAATTTCATAACTGAGAGCGAGATAAAATTTCATAAGAGAGGTACCTAATTTTTATTATAAAATTTTATGGTATTATTTTTATTTATTATTAATTTTTATATCTTAGTTATGAAAAAGATTACAACTTAGATATTATAAAAATTAATAATTAAAAGTAATACCATAAAATTTCATAAATAAGATAGGTACCTAATAATTATACATACCTCTCTCATTTTTATGAAATTTTTTTTTTTTTTTTTTTTTGTGTTAATTTTTAATTTTCCTTATTTTTAGTTGTTTTGTTTCCATCCCTAGTATTGAAACTAAAAAAGAAAATAATTAATAATTGCAGTATGTCTCTCAATGGAAAACAATAAATTAATTATATTTAAAAAAATTAAATTAAAATATTTATTGAAATAGGATGTAAAGAAAATAAAGCTTGAAAATGCAACAATGATGGTCAAAGTCAGTCAGAGAATTCAACACTTGCTTGCAGTAAGAAAACTAACATTTTCTGAGGTCAGTTTATTGCTGTCAAGAGAAACAACTCTTAAACCACATAACATTAAGGTCACTTATAATCATCCATATATTTGGAAAAAAAAGTTTTTATGCACACTCAAAAACAGTGTAAAATGCTCTTTTAAAATACATGTGGATCAGATTGTAATAAACTTTCAAGTTTATGATATCTGTAAAGATAGATCTACTTAATAACAGCATTCTCTAAATTGCATGCATTGAAACTTAATTTTAAAATATTTAACAACTTCATCACATTTTGTATTTAGAATTGGGGAAAAAAAGAAAATTCTTGTAAAAATTAATTTTTCATTGGAAAAATATTTTAGCTTCAGACAATATTGTCCTTAACATATATTATTCATAAATGCCTTTAAAAGCTTTTCTCATTAATCTCTTAGTTTTATTGGGTTTTGTATGTTAAAATTCAGAGCTAAATTTTTGGTAACTGTGCAGTTCGATTTCATAAAAAAATCAATGATTTATATTCTTCAAAGTCTTCTGCTTTTAACTAATGTAATCAATAAAAGTCATGCTGTCAAATTTCTCAAGTTTTCATAAAATTAAGTGGTGTGAGTAACAAATGTAAAAAATAAAAAAAAATTACCATGACTTTCTGAAAAAAAAATAATTTCATTGATTGGCAAATAAGTTCTGAAAGTTTCATTAAAATCCTGCAATTATTTGAATTTTGCAAAAATTTCCAAATCAATGTATTTTTCACCTGTAAAAGGTGCACAAACACTAATAGTAGACCACTGACATGAAAAAAAATAAGATTTTTAACCAAAATTTCAAACATGCTAGAAAAAATGAAAAAAATTTAATAAAATAATAAAAAAATACTTTGGTCTTTCCTCTTAATAATAACATAAACATTTTGGTGATAAAACTTTGATTTATTGAGTTTGGGGCTTTCATGCTATGCTGATTTTTTGTGAATTAGGGGAGATACCTACCTATATATCAAGAAAAACACACACACAAAGCAAGCTGTAATATACCATTTCAGTAAAATCTGGTATTTCTACAAAACAAGCAGCAAAATATTGTGCAATTCCATAAATTTCTTAATTTCTTTTTCCTGGGGGGAATTTTTCAGGGATATCATGTTCGTTCACTTCCAGGATTCTTAGTTTCAGAGCTAAGCTCTGTGTGTGCACTGATTCCTGATGAACCACACTTCTTTGTGGTCTTCATGTCCTTCTCATACATGATACTGCTGTATTGGATGCAGGTTCATTTTGGAGGACATTTTTGTTTTAAATCCACATCCAATAAGCCGGCAACTACCTTAATTACTGTATACACTTTTGACTGCCTTGATAATATTTATTGTTTTAAAAAGTGATTAGAATTTTAATAAAACCCAAAACATATGAAAGTGGATTTATACATTTTCTTTATTAAACACTATTTATTAGACTTAATAAAAAACATGTTTTCATAAATATTTATAAAATGGTAAATAATGAATGTTGCATTGTAGTTGATTTAAATATTTTGATAACTTGATAAATATTTTTATAAATTTTTATAAATTTTTGAATAAAAAGATTTTTTTTTCAAATTTATTTCTTTATAAAATGGTAAATAACAAATACTACTTTGTACTTGATTCACATATTTTTATAATCTTGTAAACAAACATTGTTGAGGGAGTCAAAAGTGTATACAGTAATAGCAGTTTCAAAGGAAAAACCATCCTTTTGGCACACCATTTTTTATGAGCACAAAGGTTAGACATTGCTGATATCTTACCTATAGGATAACATTTAGGCAACCTTTTACTCCATCTGTTATCTTTTTTTTTGTATTATTTGTCTTGAACATTCCCATTTTGAAATTTAATAACTTTTGTATCTCTTACTGTGGTCTCATCTCTAATTCATGTTGACCTCACTCTGTCTCTTAGAATTATCCTTAGCATTGCTCTTTCCATTGATCTTTGTGTATTTTGTATTTTATTTTTTATTAATTTCCATGTTTTACTCTGTACCTGGACATCACAGATGGTATTATGCAGTTGCTATACTCTTCATTTTAAACATATACTCTTCATTTTAAACATATACTCTTCATTTTAAACATATCATTTTCATACTCTTCATTTTTTAAACATTTTATACTCTTCATTTTAAAATATATACTTTCATTTTAAACATATACTCTTCATTTTAAACATATATTTGTCCTTTTCATTTAAAACATATACTTTCATTTTAAATATACTCTTCATTTTAAACATCATAAAGAATTCATTTTAAACATATACTCTTCATTTTAAACTCTTCATTTTAAACATATTTTTCTATTTTAAACATATACTCTTCATTTTTTAAACATATACTCTTCAAAACATATACTTTTCATTTTTTCATTTTAAACATATACTCTTCATTTTAAAAAATATACTCTTCATTTTAAAATACTCTTCATTTTAAATATATATTTTATTTTAAACATATACTCTTTCATTTAAAATTTTAAAATAACTTCATTTAAACATATCTTTCATTTTTTAAAACATATACTCTTCATTTTAAACATATACTCTTCATTTTAAACATATACTCTTCATTTTAAACATATACTCTTCATTTTAAACATATACTCTTCATTTTAAACATATACTCTTCATTTTAAACATATACTCTTCATTTTAAACATATACTCTTCATTTTAAACATATACTCTTCATTTTAAACATATACTCTTCATTTTAAACATATACTCTTCATTTTAAACATATACTCTTCATTTTAAACATATACTCTTCATTTTAAACATATACTCTTCATTTTAAACATATTGGCAGAGTGGTTTTGTGGTATCTTGTGGGATTCACTCACATCATAGCAACAGAAATTATTCTTGTGTTCATGGAGATAAGAGCATACAACGTACACAAACGTACACAAAATAACAGGAAAATATGGTTAATTATATGTTAATTTCATACCATTTATATTTTTGTGTGTATTGGTGTATTAGGTTACAATTGTTTCATGTTACATGTGATAAAAAGGAGAAATTTATTCCATAGTATTACAAACCATATCATAGAAGTTGGACATGTGTTGCTGTCATACCAAGGTTTGTGGTGAAGAGGTTGAATTTAACATTTTTTGGTAGGATGTCTGTATTTCCAGCAGGAGTAGTTTTTGTTGCATGCTGGGAATATTTTTATTAATTTTAATTTTTGTTATTTTATTTTATTTATAATTTTCATTATTACTATATTATTTTATATTTTATTTTTATTTATTGATGATAATAATAATATCCCTACAACCTCCATTTATTTTAAACTAGATACACTCATGAAAATTTCAGTTTCCTTATTTGAATTAATTCTTAAATTTATGATTGAACAAGCTCGTGGTGAGTTCTACAGCAATAAAATATCTGTAGAAATTCCCCTATCACATTATTAAATATTTGAGCTTAACAACTTTAACAAAATATTGCAATAATAATCATAAATATGAATGATGGTGTGGAATCTTCCACAACAAACCAGCCTTACCTATTTTTAGGAAATGCACTCTTCCTATCTGGTAAGTAAAATTCTACTTTCATACAATATAACAAGTATTCATTGGTCAATCACCTCCAATCTAGCTTGCTGATTGGTCAGTTCCGACCAATCAAACCACCTGCACGCGACCAATCTGTTTTCCCACTCATATGCTAGGAGCCACTTGACCATTATATAAACCAAACACGTGTGAACCTTTTGAGTAGTAGTTACCAAGTGCCAAGATGTAACATTCACCGACTCCCGTCTTAGTCATTGCTGACCAGACGTTAAAGATAATTACCAACATTCACAAACTCTGAAATCACTCCTGAACTTTTATCAACTTTGCAAACTCACAATTCCAAACTTTCTTAATATGAACTCCGGTACAACTAATACCTAATCAAAGGGACACGACTCTGTCCTACTTTTTCAGTTCGCATTCATGTACATCAAACATTAATAAATCTAATTGTTATGTTTTGGAATCATTCAGTTCAGTTTTGTATTTTATTCTATGTGCTATTTACGTCAAGTATAAATTGCATTGCATTTCACGCATTGTCCTTAATCTCATCTTTCTTAGCCATTACACATATTGGTAACATGTACTACTACAAATGGCAACCCCAACGTTCATCGTAGGACCAAACCACATACATCTATATATATTGGAGATGATTACACAGGAACAAATAATAATGGTAGATAAACCACTTCAATGGTACAAATGAAAAGATTTGAAATTGACAACTTTTTCCATTTCACATGAAAAATGTTAAACAATTCTATCTTCCCTTCTTTCATTTTCTCACTGAAACCAAGTAGCATCTTTGATGTGTCTTTTCCTTCTTTTCACAATGAAATCATCTATTATTTATGAGGTATTGACAGGGTGCAATGTAGTGCTAACTAAGGAACTAAATTGGGGGGGGGGCAATTGGAATTATAATATACTTTCCACCACACTTTTATCTGGTGTTTTTCAATTTTTTACATTTTGAAGCACAAACCTTATTTCATTTCTCAGGAAAATTGCTAATATCTGCTAGAGTTGGTGGTTGATTTTCAAACATTACAAGTTTGTTAGTAATCTCTGGTTATCCTTAACATCTCATCTGTGTAATTTGTGGCTTCTATGATTGTCTTTCAATGCAAGCAACTCTTGTTTATTGATGAGAGTTGCTACAGATTGAGCTTCTTTAACTTGAAAATGAGCTGAGGATTTCTGGAATGAGGAGTTATCAGTATTTACCTTCAGATTAATGTTCTCATGTTCATTGAAAATGTTAAGTTAAAATTCTTTCTTTCATCATGTCTCTTTTTGTTGATTAAATTAATTCTGCATTTTCAATTTTATCTCTGTTAGTATTTATGACCATATTTCTATTATTATTTTTTTATCAGTTCTCGTGTCTACTTTGAGTTATTTCCCTTTGTTATTGCTCTTTGTTTTATCAGTTTAGGGAAACCTATGCAAGAAGTATTATATTTATATATAATTAATGTAAAAAAGATAAATCATAGTGAAAGGAGAGAAAGAAAATCTGACCAAATATCATTTCTCCTTCTTCAGACCATTATCAAGGAATAAGTGTGCAAAATTATTAAAATTCAGAGTAAATATTAAATACGAGATTATATATAGAAAGTGAGAAATGATAAATGGTCACATTATTTTCTTTTCTTTTGATTTATCATTTTATAATTTTCTTTCTAGGATTATTTTTCTTTCTCTTTGCTCTTCATTTTTCTATTACATTTTTTAGTATGTCTGTTTTTGCTGCAATAATAATAGCTTATCTAGTTTTTGTAAGAAAATGTAATGTTAAACTCTTTGTAGAGCAGCATTTGACAGGGCATTTTTTTGTATTCAATTACAAAATAAATTGAAAACCAGTCATTTAGCAAGTGGAATCTGTAAATATTAATGCTGAAAATATGATCCCACTTAATGACAAAACCCATATCCTCCTGGTTTCATTTTAATTTGACGCCATAAAACACTTGGATTGTCACCATTTTCTTAAAGTTCATATTGATTTCAAGTGAAAACTTGAAACTTTTCCAACATTGAAATTTTCTCTTTTCAAAAGTATAATTTATAATTATAGCTTAGATATATGGAAAAAAAGGCAGTTTAAATTGATGCCAGGAGGATATAATTATTAACACTCTGCATTATTCACTCTTTATATTTCCACTGCATTGTTTTTCAAGACTCCTCCACTGCACAACTTAATTTCATCCATGCTCATTTTCTGTTGCCATAGCAGGATATGACAACACAACTGCAAAATTCAAACACTCTATTATTCATTCATTTGAGTTACTTGCAATGGCAAGATAAATTTTTTTCTTTGCAAGCAATGTCATCTCCAGTATGTTGAAGGTTTAAAGTCTATTTACTAAGATTTTATAGTAAATACAATATTGAAGATGAAAACAAAAATAATGCAAAAACAACTTTAAAATAAATCCTTTTTTCTTTTTGTTTTAAATGTTGTATCTCTTCAGTATATAGGCAATAATGCTTCTTCACATATCCCTTTTTTTTTTTTTATTAATTGTGAACTGCCATGATTTTTTTTTTTTTTTTTTAAAGATAGTGAAGTGGTTTTCTGCTGCTTTCTCCACAGTTTTGAATTCAGACTATTCCTTCTCTTAAACTCACTGCCACCCAAGACTAGTTGACCCTCCTATTTAATTTATTGCTTAGGAGGAAAAAAAATTGATTCATACCTTTCTCAATGATGTTAGTGCAAAAGCAACAGCAGTTAGAATCTGAACTCTGGTCTGTCAATTCTACCTTCACTTTACCCACACATTCTAACAGGAATTCCTAAAATGGTTTATTGCTAAGAGAATTCATAATTCTGAATATATTGTTATAAAGATTTCTATTATTATCTATGTATTATCTCAATGTCTGTCTTCAAACTTGGTCAAATTGTGTATGCATTTGTGTGTGTGCACCTGTGTTTGTGTCTACATTAAATAGGACAAACAGATGTAAGTCGGTCATATACACCATGGACATATGCATACATATACATTATGTACTTAGATGCAAAGTTACACAGTTATGGTGAAAAGAGAATCCAAATCTAATATATATTTGAGGTGTTGTTGATTTTGTTTGTTTTTTTAGACTGTTAATATTGATACACCCCAGAATATTATGTATGAGGGAAAACGCCTAGACACCAAAAAGGTAAGTATTTTTAAACTATTTCCTTGAAATATACATAATGAAGCCATTAGCTCTATACAGAACTAATTTGGGTATATTATATTATAAAGTTTAATTTTATAAAACAACTCTGATCTTTCAAAATTAATAATTAGGTTTCAAAGAGAATTATAGGAGAATCACAAAGTAAATGAGCATCTTAAAACTACATAAATGTGTAAAAGGTATTTTTCTTTAAATATATGAAAGGCTTTTTTAAAAAATATATACAAGGTATTTTTGTTTATATATATATATCATACTTATTATAAAACCCAGGTTGTGTTGTATATTTATATATTGGATCAGATTTCCTACATTTTTCAACCGATTTCAACAAAACTTCACAGGACTACGTAAAATTACCTTGCAGTGGTTCTGACATTTACTCTAGAAAAGTGGCATAAAAGCAAATTTGACATAAGCCAAAATGCCGTGAATTTCATATTACTGAATTAAAAACATTATTTCATTCTACAGATTTGTGGTGTTTCCATTTTACGTGCTGGAGAGACAATGGAATCAGCTTTGGGTGAAGTATGTAAGAATGTAGTCATTGGCAAGATTTTGATTCAGACCAACTTTAATACCGGAGAACCAGAGGTAAATTTTCTTATTTTTCTTATTTGTTAGTTCAAATTTTTGTAAAATCTTAAAAATATCATTGTAAAAATTTGGCAATGATTACATGAATATATAAAGTGATAATAAAAAAAAAAGTTTTCACAGTTTATTAGGCTAAGTTTATTTAAGATGTTGATACTCACAATGCACAGTTTTCAAGAGAAACTCTTTAAATTTATTACAACAATATAATATATACTATTACAAAGTGGAGGAAAAGACAACATTCATAATAAACAGTTATAAATGCTATAAACAGTTTCAAACTTGATATTTGTAAATAAAAACAAAGTACAAATAACTCTGAGAAGTTGGGAAACAATTTTGAAAAGGAAAACTCTTATAATGATTAAAAAAAAAAAAAAAACATCAATAATTTTTTTTATTCTGATACAAGAGCTGGTTGATTTTTCACTTTTTTTAGAAAATCAACATTGCATTTGGTGTGAAAACTGGGGTTTGATATGATAAGTATTGACACCAAAAATTAGATTCACAGCTTTTACCAGTTTTTGAGCATTTAGTTTTAAAGATTGTCTGAAAAAAATATACAGAAATGCCTAATTTTCATGTTTTTACTTACAAACTGACTTCAAAATTTTACTATTTCAACAATGAATACAAATAAAGTTGATATATTTGTTATCAGATACACTGAAAGAAAAATATATTCAAACCAGAATTCTAATTCTGAATCGCTACAAGCAAAATATGCAATTCTTTTTCCTATATTGATAAAACTGTAAGAAAAAAATGTAAAAGATTACAAAAAAGTTTATTCAATTAATAAGATTTATTAGGTCATAATTAATAAAAACAAAAAATAGATAAAAGTGTATATAACACCATAATACTGCACAAATTATAAGATAAAATGTTTTAAATTTGCATTGTTTATTGAAAATTACACTAAAACTACTGCACTGTATAATATATTACATTATGATAAAGCTAAATTGTTCAGTATAATTTCCCTTTGAAGCAAATGAATTTCTTATTTGATGGTACAATGATTTTGTAATGTGCTTGTGCCAGGCATCTGGTCCATATACAATTTGTAAAGCTTCAGAAAATTATAAATTTTATAAGGTTTTGCTATAAGGCTTTCACTGATCACTGGAATGAAATTTCGACGCTATGATTTTGAACCTAAACTTAACATTCAAAAAATGTTAACGGTTTGGAAAAAGAATTTTCTGTCATTATTCATCATGTCAAACCCCAACTATGAAATTGAGTGCAATACCATGGTTCCAAAATCAACCTGCTCTGTTCTGAAACCTGTCATGGGTAAAAGGTCTAAGGAATGCTAATCTCCAAAAATTACCCCCTCTAATTTTTCCCTGTTTTTTTTTTTTTTTTTTTTTACAAATACACCAGTCAATTTAAGTAGTGGTTAGAATTTGACTAAAGAAAATGAGTCACTCATGTGTGATCCTATTTGAATCAATCATATCAATGTCCGTTGTACAAGAGCCCAGTCAGGCCAGAAATGGAGTATCACTGCCATATATATTCATTTTCCAGTCTCGACAATCCAAAAGCATCTACACAGCCTTGTGGGTGATGAATTCTTTTTCACCTTACAACCCATTTCCCATAGACAAAATGTTGCAAGCCTCTCACTACTTCATCTCTATTTCCATGAAAAGTTTTCAGATGAACTACGTCCCTTAGTTCCACCAGTTCTAACATTCATGGCTAAGACCCACTACACCATTTACACTGAGGGTTTCTTCTCATGAACCACTATTTTGTGGAACCAACTTGCAAAAGGCTGCTTCCCTGATCACTACAATCTTGTTCAGTTCTAGAGTTAACCATAACTTCATAAACTGTATCTTGAGTGGCTCTTGCCTTCCACAGGACAAACATTATTTTAAAAAAATAAAAAGTTATACAATCAAAATGCTTCAGCTGATAACATCAAATTGCTAATACTATTACACTACTATTGCTATTATCAGTATCAGTTTTTCTTTCCTATCTTTTCTACCATTTCTACTATTATTTTTCTTTTAAGATTAATTAAGGAAGATTTATTTTTTCACTGATTGGTAAAAAAGAATTCATAATATCAAAACAGTTTTTCCCTGCAACTTTGACAAAATGTTTGAAAACATAATGTAATATATTTTTATTTAGATATGAACATAATTATCTACAATATAGATTATAATATAAACCTGATCAAAAATATTTTCTTAATAATATCCTCACTTTTTTTTGTTTCAACCAATTCAGCTCCACTACCAACGCTTACCAAGAGACATTCGTGATTGCCATGTTTTATTAATGGATGCTACTGTGGCCACAGGGGCTGCAGCCATGATGGCTATTAGGGTTCTGCTCGATCACGATGTCCCTGAAGAGAACATTACACTCCTCTCACTACTTGTAGCTGTTTCAGGTCAGTGAATCTGTTTTTACTTTCTTCCTACCTCTATAATACTTTCAAATAGTTGATTAAAATGTAATTTGTTTTCATTTCTAAATATATACCAGAACAGTAAATATATAAGACAATTTGGAAAACTCATATTTTGACATGTTTCAAAGATCAAATGACTTCATCAGAAAATGGATTTTATTTCAACCAAATGTAAATTGGTAAGAAAGAATATGAACCATGTTAGTCATGAATGCTGGTTTTTTTTGTTTTTTTTTTACTTTGACTTATTTTTGAGGTTAGGTTTTACAAATGTCAACTCAGTTTTTATGTATGGGAATGACTATTATCACTACACAGTAATATTACAGGCAACATTATTATCCCAGCATGGTGATATTGTTGGTGATATTATTATCACCATACAGAGATAGGTTAAGTCATGGTTTCCCAATCTCGGTGATATCATCTACCGATAAATGATTTAAACTATTGGGTGGGTGATGAGCAACTAAAGACAAAATGGTGGACAATATAGGATTTTGAGTATTAAGAAAGTATTTCAACATATGCTACTCCCAAAAAAAACACAATTCAAAGAAGATATGCAAAGAACCTGTATATATAAAAAAAAATGAGAACAACTAGGTGATATTCCAAGATAAGATATAAATATCCTCACCAACAAGGAATATTTTGGTATTTTCTATAGTTTGGAGAAGTCTCATTAACATTCAAGTAGTTCTTATGACATAATGACTTTTTTTTTCTGGATATAAATCAGATAAGGGAAAACCAAGAACACCAAAAAATATTCTCTGAAGTTTTATTAGTTGCTAATAATTTTTTACTTTAGAATTATGAACAAAAATCATTTAATCTTTTGTCAACACTAACCATAAAACTAAATTTTTTTATATATATATATATATATATATATAATTAAGTCTAGAAGAAACCTCAACAGAATGCAGAAAGCACTGGACAGCCATTTCATCCTATATTTGGGACTCATCCACTACCGAGAATTGAAACCCGGACAGTTACGTTATCAGGCAAACGTCATACCAACTGTACCAACAGCCTATTCTTCTAGACTCGATGAATTACTTAATTATAATTATCTCAAATCCTCCTAATAATTTCTATCACTTGTATATCCTTGCTTGAACCGGCTTCTAATGCTCTGGATTGAGTGGCTTCAGGATAGTAGTCATGGTTTGTGGGGGCACATTCCTATTGGTAAAGGGAAACTCAGATGAGTTCCACCACGGAACATGTGATCGAGCAGCGCTATATTGAGTCTAATTTGATACCTCTTTGTTACCAAGGCCTGTTGGAACAGTTGGCATGACGTTTGTCTGATAACGTAACTGTCTAGGTTTCAATTCTTGATAGTGGATGCACACTGTTGATGAGTCCCAAATATAGGACAAAACAGCCGTCCAGTGCTTTCTGCATTCTGTTAAGGTTTTTTCTAGACTCAATGAATTACTTAATTATAATTATCTCAAATCCTCCTAATAATTTCTATCATATATATATATATATATATATATATATATATATATATACTTTTCAATGGCCAAGTTTGCATTCATTTGTTTTTTAACACAGTAGTAGCAGCAGCTGTCTAAGTCAGCACTATTTGTTACCTCCCTTTGGTATATATTTACTACATCATAAAGAGCTACAAAGAACAGGAAATTTCAGAGAGACAGGGTTGGCTACATCCTGAAGGGACACAGCACTGAGCATTGAGATGATAGGCATGTACTGCAAATATCTAGAAATAATTTTCATGGATGGAACTTACAAAATCAACAGATATAATTGAAATGTGTTTTTTATAAAAATATCTTTTAATTTCCTATAGTGGTAATTGGTAAATAAAATAATTTCAATAAATTATTTTACATCCTTGGTTAAAATACTGAAAAAATGTCACCAAATGGTGATAATAAAGCCACTGTTCTTTTCACTGTAGGGTGACTATAATGATATTGGTAATATCTCAGTACGCTGATAATTCACACAACCTTTATATATTCATTTGTTTTTAGATTTTTCATATCTGACATTTTTTTTAACGCAAGTTTAGAATGAACAAGTGATAGGTTGAAGAAGTTTTGATCATATATTAACTACAGGGTATTCCAGATATACTAGAATTTAAAAACAACCCAAATGTCAGAACAAAAGTTCATAGTGTTTTTAAATGATTTTCAAAGGCAATATTTACATAGATATATTAAAACCAAAATCTAACTTTTTTTCTATCTTTCACCATCTTTAAGGCAGCTTCATGATTCCATCCTCCCAGAACTTGGGATCTTTCTGCGTGATGAAATGATCTAAGTGACTTTTACAGGCTTTCAGAGAATTGAGTTTTTCCCATTAGGAGAATTCTCTTGGGATTGAAATAAATGGTGATCGGTAGTTGCAAGGACAGGTAAATACAGTGAGTGCAGTTGAACACCCTAACCAAGCTGTACCACTTCCTGTTGGGTCTGCAAAGAGACATGAAGTCTTGCATCATCCTGATAGAAGATGGTACTCTTCTGATTGACCAGTTGCAAATGTTTTTCATCAATTACAACCCATTGATCTAATGGAAACAGTTCTTATCTGAATTCAATGTCTGATTTTTTAGAAGCAGCTTGTAATATACTATGCCCCTCCAGTCTCATCAGATAGTATTAACATCTTCAAATGTAAACTGGCATTTTAATATATATATATATATATATATATATATATATATATATATATATTATTTTTTTTTTTTTTTTTTTTTTTTTTAGGACCTTTTTCACTCCACATTGTTGTAAACAGTCCATATTTTAACACCTATCCTTTTTTCTTTTTTTTTTTTCAAAAGTATCTTTATAATGTCTTGTGTTATGTCATCAGGATTATTTTTAATCAGCATATCAATTTAGTCATCTGCAACAACTGCAGGACTGACAATGTTTTTGGGCAATATTTCCAGGCCTAGTGGACCATTTCTGAACATTACTCTCAACTATGGCATCATCTCCACAAATGGAACAGATCTTTTATGCTGTTTGTATAGCGCTGCAATTTTTTCTAGAAATAAAAACATCAAATGACAAAAATGCACCTAATTTTCCACTATTTTCACTTTTAATATAAAAACATTTAAAATTCACAATCCATGCAGGAATCCTATAGAAAGACATGTTGAGATATCACCTTTCAGAATATATGTCATAAATTTCAGTCATGTTTGAAACAAAATCATGTCTTCAAATATCACTTATTGAAAAATGCTCCAAAAGTAATACTTGAGCAAAGCCAATATAAATAAATGGTTGATGTAAAATGACCCATCAGGGTTGACACTAAATTAAACAAAATCTAACCAATCACCCAATATAAATAAAACATAAAAATGAAAGAAAAACTAGTCCAAAATGAATGACAATGCTTCATCAAAAAAATTCAGACTATTATGTCTATTATTATTAGGTGTAAACACAACATATGGTGTGAAGAAAATCAGGTGATAAATTTAACTATCTAATAAAATTTGAAAATTTGTTGACTGCAGGCAAATCACTTTCCATGTCAAACTCAATAAAACCAGATGTGTGTTCCAATCTAGGAGACTGCTACTTTATTTCCAATCTATGATATTTACTTAATGCATGAAGGATGTAAAAATCATCTTAGCATTATACTAAAATAAAAAGAGAACATTAAAATAAAGAAATAAACATTAACAAATGAATAAAAAAAACTAAAACAGAGGAAATGTGTTAAAAACACTTCAAATCACATTTCAACCCTGGTGACATTAAACTGAAGATGCCCACAGAAATAGAATATCTACCAGTATACAACCCAAGCATTACAATGTCTGTGTCCAAATACTAATGAACCTAGTGATGAGGAAGTTAAGAAAGCTATAAAAAAAACTAAAGAATAATAAATTATCAGTTGACATTGAGGCTGAACTTTGGAAAATAGCTAACCTTCTTTCAAAATTGATTTCCATCTATATAGTGTTGAAACACTGGTGTTCCCTTATGATCGCCAAAGTTAAGCAAAGTCAAGCCTGGTCAGTACCTTGATGCTAACCAGGTGCTGTAAGTTTAGATGTGCAGGTGGTGTAATGTATAATGACTAAGAGTTTGTTAATCAAAGAGCAAAGTTCCAATTTCAGTTGAGTTATATTAACTTACACACAAATACTCTTGGGAAAGATATGAATCCACCTCTTCTCTCCCCAGTTATGGGTTAATTAGTAAGACTTGTGCCACTAAATAATTATGTGACCCATTAATGTACTATGGAATTAAAAAGGGTCATTCTCATGACCATCTCACATACAGAGGTATCTCTATTAGATCTATTGTAGTGAAAGTATTAATGAAAATTATATTAACCAAGCTCTCACTCTTCTATGAAAGTCAATTCCTCACAACCCAATTTGGCTTTCACTCTGGCAAAGGGTGTAATGATGAAATATATGTCATCAAACAACTCTAGAACATTGCATCTCTCCAATAGAAAATTATACATTTGCTATGTTTACCTCACAGCAGTATATGACCACATCAATAGAGACTTCTTCTTCTCATCTACTGGAAACCCAAATAATTCAACTGAATGTCTAGATCTGATAGAAGAACTATATTGGTTCACAAAATCATACATGTCTGCTGAGAACTCCAATATTGAAACATTTTAAATTTAATCAGGAGTATGACAATTTTGGACTCGTTTTTCTTTCATTTTTATGTTTTATTTATATTGGTTGGTTGATTAGATTTTGTTTAATTTAGTGTCAACCCTGATGGGTCATTTTACATTAATCATTTATTTATATTGGCTTGGCTCAAGTATTATTTTTTTTGTAGCATTTTTCAATTGGTGATATTTGAACACATGATTTTGTTTCAAACATGACTGAAATTTATGACATATAAGTATTCTGAAAGGTGATATTTCAACATCTTTCTATAGGATTCATGTATGGATTGTGAATTTTAAATGTTTTTATATTAAAAGTGAAAATAGTGGAAAATTAGGTGCGTTTTTGTCATTTGAAGGCATGAACTCATTACAAATGGCTTGCATTCCTATTGCACTATGATAGGGCCTAACTCTTCTCACCTGTCTCTCAAACATAGGAAAATTAATGCAACTAAGAGTCTATAAATTAGAACCTGTTCAAAGTGTTTACATTCTTCTTATTATAAACGTTCTTTTTAGTGGGTACACATATTGAAAATATTGCCTCTTAATCTCTAGGCTGGTTGACATTAATTTCACTGTTTAAAATAAGAGGGTTATCAACTCAAACATGTACACATGAAAATTAACATTTATAATAAGAAATACTGTTGGATTAAAAAGTTGAATCAAGAAAATAAAAATGTGCTTAGTCTTTACAGAATCTTGAGAAAAGAATTCATCAACTTTTGCCTACAAAGAATTCTCTCTAAATCTGAAAGTGTGAGGCTTACAATGATAAAAAGTCATGGTCAGTAAAATTTTACAAATTTTGTTTAAAGGATAAACATTCATCTCCATACAGACACATTATATAAATAAACAATGAATTTGGAGAATTCTTTAAAAAATTTACTCATGTCTTTTTTTTTCTTTAGGTGTACATTCTGTTGCTTATGCTTTTCCTAAAGTCAAAATTGTGACAACTGCTGTTGATAAAGAAGTCAATGACCAATTCCATATACTACCAGGCTTAGGTAAGTCTGTAATTACATGATCCAGTTTTACTTTTCTCTCAACATGACAGCAGATATCAAAAACAAAATTTAGATCAGACTGGCTTCAATCACAGACATTGTTTAATAACTGAGCAAGTGTTTTGGTTGTGAGTTGTACTCTACAGGTTATTGATCATTGTAATTTAAACAGCATATGGAGGTCACCAATTTGTAGACTCGGGTTGGGTCACCAGGTTGTAGAAATTGGTATTATAATCCTAGTCAGCTGCTTGGTAATCTGTGTTGAGGCATTCTTTGGGAATGTAGCAGCAGGCTATGTTGAAAATTGGTTACCAGACAAAAATAAAAAGAATTTGAGTATACTTTACAACCAAAAACAGACACAGTGGAAGGTAATGAAGAAATAAAATAGGATTCTCAAATTAACAATTATTATTTTTAATGCAACATTGATGAAATGGTTATCCACTTATTGCTGAAGGTGACATTAATTTACCAGAAATTGCATGGTGGTAATTACATTGTGTGCAATAGGAAAGCACAAACAAACAAGGAATGTTTGCAAATGATCTTTAACCATCATTTTTGATTGGTGATTTGTCACCAGTTTTTATTAGCTACTGAAAATTGTATTAATTCTATATATTAGTAAGAATTACTTTTGCCATTCTTTAATAAGTGAAAAATGGTCAAAACGTGCAATAATTGCCAGATCCTAAAATTAAACATGGATAACACTTGGCAAAGGGAGTTTTTGATTTATGTAAGTATACCAATAGCCTAATGACAATGAAAATATTTTACACAATAAATTTTTTACTTTCAATATAATCCTCTTCCTTGTCAATGCACTTAATTCAATGGTAAATATTAATCACACAGTTTGACTATTATAATACAGTGAAAATTTTAGACTAAGATTCAGCTAGTAACTACATGGCAGGCTATGGACTTATTGATTCATCTTGTAATATTTTGTTTTTATTCTCACAAAATAATATTTTTGTATGAATCTTCTGTTCAACCTAATTTGTTATTATGGTTGTAAAGAAAAGACAACATTTAATGTTTCTGATCTAAATGTTCTTAATTAACTGGTTGAAATTGAATTAACACTTTCACAGCTGCTGTGCTGACCTATTTTTGTCAAGGAAATAGAAAATTACCATTTACTGGAAGTTGTGGGGTTCAGCATACCCGGATTAAAGGAGAATTTAATACGGGATATCCTGCCCACAAAATACAACGCAAATTTCAAGAATGAACAACACGATAAGGAACGTTTGTAGAAAATAGAACATTGTACATTTATTATCTTGTGAATAGGGTAAAAAAGATTAATGCTTTAGTTCATTTAAGCAAAAATGTGATTTTGATAAAAATGTCCGTGTTCGCTGTTTTTTAACAGAGTAGCAGAGTAATGTCTGTTTCTTTTGTTTTCGTATATGTGTAAAGGAAAAAGGGGTGATCAATTTAAGTTGAAAAAAGAGAGTGTGAATGAGGAATAAAGATAAAAGGAAAATGTACTTATGAATTGTTTTGGAGTCAGTTGTAAATTTGTTGTTGTTGTCCTTTCCTAATCCACTTTCGGCTCTTAGTGTCGGGTTGAGTCAGTGATGAAATTTACTGTCAATCTTCTGTGATCTTTGCGCCCTTCTCTGACTGACTGGCGACTGACTTGAAAACTCTGTATTTATTGTTGACTTTTTTTCGCACTGGCTCATTATCTTTTTTTTTTTGGTTTAGCAAATCGCTTCCTTTCATTGGTCAGAAAATTAATTTCACACTTTATTGTGAAATCTGTTTTTGGTCATTTTGATCCGATTTTGCGGGTGTGCAAATCTACTTTGTGTTTTTTTAGTCATTTGTTGGAATATATGATTTGTATCCTATAAAGTAAATGACTATAAAATGCTGGTGACAATTTCTCATGGGTATACCCTTTTTTGTTTTGATTAGACACTCTGTAGTAATGGATTAACTAAACAACATTCCCAACAAGCACTATAATAAAAATACGTCACAAAAAGAAGTCTTCATAAGAATTAAATCCTACATATATTTTTCAACCAATAAAATCCCATCAGAAGGCTTTTTGAATAAACAATCATTATTAGGGCAAATACTGCCAAAATGCTTGGCAGACATAGTTGTAGACCTACCAAGTGTTATTTTTGGACCATTTAGAAAATAACAATAATAATTCCCTACACCACTTCTGCAAATTTGAGAAAAAGATTTTCATGAGCCAGTGTGAAATTATTTTCTAACTAATGAAAATCTTGTATTCAAAAAGTTCCCACCTCTATGTGAAATTGGATTTTGGATCCTCTATATGTATATAAAAATAGAAGCCTACTGCCTCTTGGGGTTCAAATTGATTTTGGAGGCCAGTTTGATCTACACTTCCTTGCACCCATGAACATGCACACAATGAAGAATTGACTGCCAGCAGCCACCATCTAAGGCTTTGTCCATGAACTGACAAACATTAGGCTGACTGTCATAAAGTAAGTCTGGCCACTCTGCACTATGAACACTTAATTACTTGATAAAACAAACTTCACTGCAATTTTATTGTTACTGTATATTTCTGAAAAGTGTGTGTGTATATATATATATATATATATATATATTATTTCAACTGATGTTCTGCTTTTTATTTTTTCTTCAGTGAATAACTTTTTTTATGTTTTATTTAAAAGATGTTCTTGTTAAATGTTTGTAATCATGGCACTCAGATAAATGCTAGAAACCAACATTTCAAGTTGGCTTGAAAACACACACTTTTTATATATATATATATATATATATATATATATATATATACACAGCCAACCCACGTAGGTTTATAAGTATGTCCAATGCAGCAAGTGTTAAAATAGCTTTTTAACCCTTTGCAGAGTGAACTGATTTCAAAATTCTACCAGTTCTAAACTAACTCAAATATTAATTCATTTTCATACATTCACCTCTCTATCCCATGTATATTCTGATAAGATTATGCATTTTGGTGTTTGGCCAGACTATCTGGAAGAAGTTCATTTACAAATTATCAAATTCTGTTTTTTGATTTTATTCAAGAGTAAGATTCTTTTTTTTCTTTTCTCATTTTACTTATTTCAGAATATTTTTTTCCATTGCTCTGTGTCATGCTTTTTTCAAATGGGTAATAATTCCACAACTTGGTTATTCAGTAGAGCAGGATACTTTGCTGTATAATAAGAATTAATTAGAACTATAGTGAGTTCAATTCTCACCAAGTCCTCTAAAGTTGTGGCCTTCTGCAGACTAAGACAAGTTTAGTGGTAAATATCCAGATATATGGCAGAGTAAATACACCAGTAGATAAGTTATTTTTTTGACAAGCATATTACTTGAAAATATTAGTTTTATAATTTGTATATAAATACTTCTCTCTCTCTCTCTCTCTCTCTCTCTCTCCACCACTCCTTCCTGTTCTCTCTCCCCACTCACTCCATTCTGCTGTAAATCCCACTGTTCTTCTGTCTGCTGCCACTCTTTCCTACGTTCTTCTTTCTGCCACCACTCCCTCCATTTTCTCTTTCTCCCTGTCTCTCAATACCCCCACCCTATATCATTCCATTACTTCATGCTCCTCTCTCTCACTACCCAACTCCCTCTAAAAAGTAGCCACTTCACTAGCTTCCCATCCTATTGTTTTTGTTACTTTATAATACTAATAATGTATTTGACTTTTCTTCTTGCAGGTAATTTTGGTGATCGTTATTTTGGCACCAGCAGTTCTGCGATGGTTGCTGCCTAAAAACAAAACTCGATGCTGAACCCTTTTTTCTCTCTGATTTTGACCACAATCATTGATCCAAAAAATACAGAACCAATAATATGGCCAATCTTTTACCAAAATTTCTCTTTTTTTTTTTTTTTTTTTTTTTTTTTTTAAATTTTTAAAGAATTATGGAGAGCATGCAAAATTTAGCTTTGTGACTAGATACTAAACATAAACTTAACCATCTGTGGGATATGAACCTTCAGATAATGCATTTATCTTTTTTGTCAAACTCAAGGACTTTGGTCTGACACTTCCCACTCTTGGCTAATTTATGAAGGTCACTTTTTATTTAGTGTATGTATAAAATAAGATGATTCCAGTTTTATTCTACTTTAATGGCTAATTTTTTTGTTCACCTTGTTGCATATATTTTGCAAACTGTCTTACTCCCAGATTTCCCTTCTAAATATTTTTGCTAACTTTTAATCTTTTTAATCTTCGGGCATAAAATTGAATCGTGTTTTTAAAATCTATCAGTGTTTTGTTTCCTCTTCATTTTTACATTTTATTATAGACTGGCAAAATAAGCATTGCCAAATTGTATGTCTGTTGAATATGTGTACCTTTTGAGGAGAAGGAAAATGAATTGTGATGTTGTTTTAGTCTAACAAAAGTTCAAAAATATCATAAAATGAGAAATCAGAGGGAGTAAATAAGAATTAAGAGGGGGCAAATAAGAAGAGAGAAATGCTGCTATTGTTTCTGCTGAAGACACTCAAGGTAAAGTTGTAACAAATCTCAAACCCCATTTCTGTAATGAACTTGGCTAATAAATTAATAACCTTCTAATTTATACTTTATCAATAGCACTTTATAATAGTGAATCTCCATTAGTAATATAGATTTTACAAGTGCATAAATCACTGAAATAATTTTTCAATCTTATACCAGAGGTCAAGGATAATGTAAAGATGATGACCAACTTTCACTGGAAGATAGTGTTACAGAATGCATAGGCTGGCCCAGAATGGCAAACTACTGGTCAGAAGAGCCTGTGATGGATTGCCTTTAAGTTTTGGATAATGGTTGACAAGGAATGAGTGGGCCTATGAATACTTGAAAGATTAATTATTTACAGTTGGACTAATGTCCTGATCTTTATCACAACATTTTGACTGTTGTACCTTCTGGACTTCTTCAGGTGTCTGTTGATTCAGATATCTGAACATCAGGCACCTGAAATGTTGTGATGATGATGATAAAAAAAGATAAAGTAATGTAAGTAATAACTCCTTATCCCAGAAATTCAAACAGAAGCACTCTCCTATAATTACCTTCCCAGATTGTGACTAATGCTTATTATAATCATAATGAGTCCTAACAAATGTTAATTATTTATTTGTCGCCAGAGAATGGGGTTGTTTAAGATAATTATCAACTTTATGCCATTTTTTTAATCTCACTGTATCTAAAGCAAAAATGCTTTCCTATAGATTTTGGTCATAACAAAATTAAGTTCCATTATGTTTAAAACAAATTTATTACAGATTGGTTTTAGATTTAACAAAGGTATTTTTAATCATACAAATGTCTATCATAATTTCAACTTTTTTTTTTTTTCCAAAAAAAAACTGACCAATGAAGCCTATTGATTTTTTTTATATAAAATAAAACAAACAAATGTTGATTCTTTCCTTGAGAAATTATTGTTTTTTTTTGTTTTTTTTCAAATTAGTAATCTGAATAATGTAAATTAATTTTTGAATTGGAAAAGACAATTTGTTGCTTTTGGTTTCTTGCTGAATAATTTATGTCTATTCAATCCTAGAAATGTTGATTGTAAACATTTAATTTTTTTATTTAAAATACACAATTATATTTTTTATTAAAATTACCTTTATGATGACTCCTGTTTGTTTTCATTTATTTTCTTTCTTTCTTTGCACCTAAAATCTTTCTTTCTGACATATTCCTACATTCATTTGCTACGATCATTACTAGATTGCCCCCCCCCTTTGGCCATCCATCATTTAATCAAACTGATGAAATAGTTCATTTAATCATTTTGACAGATTTAGTTATATATATATATATATATATATATATACACACACACATTATATATATATATATATATATATATATATATATATATATATAAAACTATACTTGTCTCGAAAAACCTTGATTTTTTTTTTTGCCAATAATCAAATGATGATCCGCTTATGTGAAACCTGGGTAGGTTTGTCTGGCTCACTAGGTTTGACTAATATATATATATATATATATATATATATATATACACACATGTCTCATTAAGTAATTTAGACAAGTTTTGTCTACTTATTTTTAATATGATCCTCTCGTATTAACAGACTATCTTAGTATCCCTATTAAAGGAAGAAAGAAAGTTACCATAGTGATGCATATTCATTTATTCCAAGTACTTTTGACATTAGCAAAATGTTATCTTCAGGGTCTTGTTTTATCTAAGACAAATTTGTTGTTATCTGAAAATTAAATTTTTATTTGTGAAATAAAAAATGCTAAAGTTATGTACTGTATAATTTTTAAATTTTATGATGTAAACATACTCCTGCAGTAACGTCAAGGGAGGTAAAGATATTTTTAAAAAAAAACGAAAGCTATTAAAACCTAGATATTTTAAAACTATCTATTGTAAACATTTTAAAACATTTGTGCAGTATTCATAATTTTATTACGGGTTGGTCTCAATTTTTTAATATTGATAAACTAAAAATTCTTGAAAGTATGTTTATTATTTTCATGAAAAAGTATAGATGTATTTTCAACAAAAATTTTTCTAAATTGTAAATGTGAGCAGGCATGCTGTTTGTAAATGTTTAGACATGGTAGATGCATCATTCAAATGAAAACTCAACCTCCAAGTCAATGTAGTTGCAGTGTGACCAACATAAATATTATTTTTTCAGTTCAAGATAAAATCTCCCAAGGGACATTTAAATTTATATATAATGTTGGTTTTCTGCAACATGTTAATTGATGAGGAGTCATTATGAATGATTAAATTGGATATATTGAATTTCATATAAAATTAATTTTTTTTTTTTTTTTACTAGGATCTGTGGTGGATATATTAGTATTATTTTTTTTTTTTTTTCATCCTGTTTATAATTAGAATGTATTTGATTGTGATACAAAAGATTAATATGTTTCCAATTGAAGAAGTATTCTATTTGCTTTATATTAATATCTCTAATAGAAAATCTTATTTGTTCATCAACAATATAATTAAGGAAGTTATTATTGAGTTTGTTTTATATATTTTAGTAAAAAGAAAATCTGTTTTGTGGATGAGTTAATTTTTACAAGTTTTTATAATTGCTATTTTCTAGTAATTTGGACATTCACTCTTATAGGTAAGAGTGCACAAATTTATGCTAGTAGGTTTTTTATATGGGGAGATATTGATAAACACTAAGTAATAAAATTCCTTTTCTAGATAGTGAATTTATTAGATCATTAAGTTCATATGTAAATTTAAGACAATTATTTTGGAATTGATTTTGGAGTTGATATATTTTATCCATATTCTTCACTTGATATAAGAATATCATTGATGTATCTTAGGTAGATGGAGGTTTTTTTAAATTTATTAAATATTATTTTTGAAACTAGAGATATATACAAATTACTAAAAGTTGGGTTCAGAAATGAACCCATAGCAATTATAAAAAAATTAATAAACTATAAAAAAATCTATAAGTAATTTCTCATTTTTCAATTAACATGACATTACATGACACATAATCTGTATTTAATTACATCCTTTATCATCTCTAATCTTCAAACCTGACATAATTTTTAAATTTTTCATATGTCAACAATGCTGAAATGTTCAAATCCTCCTCTAAGATGGAGTTAAGTTTTCAAAACACTACCCCTAAGCTATCTCCTGGTTTAAATCTTTGGAATCTAGCTCCATTATTGATTCCTTATCTTTTCCAGTTAAAGTGACGAGGACAGTGGAAGCAATTTTTGACTATTTCAAACAGGTAACTATTTTCCTCCATGCTGCATACTTTACTGGCATTAATATTGGCAGACTCGTGCATCATGTTGATCTAATCTTTTTTTTTAAACTACACCCTGCTACAAGCTTGTTAGTCTTCACTTTTTCTTTTTGTTTACTAATGTTCACCCAATACAGGGCTCAAGAGCCACTCAAGGTAGAGGGTTATGAATGTAAGAAAGGGCAAGAAGTGAAGTTCTTGGGGTTATGCAGGAAAAATAACGGCTAACTATAAACTTGGTCAAGATTTAGTTAGAGTTCAGGTGGAAACATTAGAAGTATAGTGTGAAAGTAGATTTTAGAAGGAACTAGAAGCCCAATCCTAAACAGGAAACAAGGGATAAATCTTTACTGCTGTTCAAAAGATCAAGGGGGTGTGTGAACATATCTACTCCTATTGCCTGCTTTTCAACTTTCAAAAATAAGACTCCTTCTCATAGCAAAACGGTTTGACTTTATAGTCTGCTAAAATGACTTTTTGGTCTTCATCAGGTCTTACAGACTGCAGTACAGAATCACAACTTACCAAATAACAGAAACCACTTCAAATGTAACTCAGAAAAAAATAACAATTAAGATGGAGTCATACCAGATAATTTTTCTTGTTAGAATCTATTTTGCACATTTATAAATCTACCATTCCTCCATGCATTGAATATTGCTGCCATATTTGGTCTGGTGCTCCTGCGATATATCTAGAGATTCTCAACAAAATCCAAAGAAGGGTCTGCAATACTTTCAGTCCTGGCATCTTGATTTCAGTCACTTTCATGCCACTATAACGTAGCTTCCCTCTGTCTTTTCTATAAATATTTTCTTGGCAATTGTTCTAATGAGCTCTCCGATTTGATACCTGAACCACATGGATTTAAACATAATGCTAGCTAAGTCTCAGCTGTTTATTGATGAACTAGCTAGATGTAACCATCAGTTCTAAACTGATAGTTTCTTTTCTCACCTGTGGAATTCTCTTCCAATT